CAGTAGAGTTAATGAATGGATCATGAAAGAAAAGATATGAAAGCTATCAGAAAAACTACATTTGTTTATCTGTCAATCAGACAGAAAAAAAATGTGAAAGTAAATTAAAGTACTAATGAACAGATGTTCAATCTTAAATCAATGTAAAATGTTAGAAAAAATAAATTGTTCTTTACAAAAAATACAACCAGCATATGAAATTATAAATATATTTCATTTTCGAAAATGAATAGAAAAATATTCAAAACATTCATATGCTTGTCACAAGATATTTTAAAGGACAATTTAACACAAAAAATTATAAGCTAATTAAAACGCGAAGTAAACATTCTCTTTCTATTTGTACTTATAGAGATAAAATTTACTGTGAATAAGACTTTCAACAGATGAAAACTAATATAGAATTATAATGATATTAGCATAACTATTCTTTTTTCAGTTCGTTCTCACTGTCATATATGATAATCGATAGAATATTATATTATAAACAAAGATTTGTATGACAAAAGAATAGCTAATTCTTTGACGCTGCCAAAATTTCTAAGTCACTGAATCGGAAGAAATACGCCAAAAGTAACTGTTCACTAATTATTTTCAGACGATTTGAGTTTACATATATGACAGCTCATCATTCTGTGAGCTGTCTGATAAGTAACTAGATTTGTTCGACTGGATAATATAAACTATGATCCATGGAAATGATTCAATCCATCAAATGAGAGAATATATACTCAGAAGAAATGGTTCTAATACTTTTCAGAACTTCAACATTCCATAAAAAGTGTTTAATGATGGATACTGATGCTGTCAATTCTAAGCTATTCATATGAATTGAAACTGAGGCAGATTTTTCATAACGTTATAAGAAAAATTGTTAGAACATTCTTCAGATTCATTTTTTGGTTTACCTAATATATATTTGTTTTTAACTTTTGAAAATTCCAAAATCAATTGACTGATGTAATTATAAGTAAGAGATTTATGATTTTAAACAATATTTAATATGTTTTTGTATTCATTTTTATATTCTCTTCCTACTTTATTAATATTGATTTATTCAATTTAATGTGACGTTTTCGTTGTAGTTTACAACTTCATCAGACATAATTCTATATACACTTTTTTGCAATTTTAAATTATAATTTAAAATCATACCGTTAAATATCTACATTGTGTAAGGGATGAAACAGATGTAAAAGGTGTGACAATTTGACTAGTACGTTTTCTTTTTTCTTTGATCTTCTTTACATTTTGTTTAATAGTGATACGGAACTGAATCATCAATCCAGAGCAATCCTACTATCGTCTTGTTCCGTATCACTATTAAACAAAATGTAACGAAGATCAAAAGAAGAAAGAAAACAGCAAATGAACTAGTCTAATTGTCGCACCTTTTACATCTGTTTTATCTCTTACACAATGGAGATATTTAACGGTATGATCTTTATCAGCCTTCCTGAAAAAGCAAGTATTTGATACGTTATCCATCGAATTATTCGACAAGCAGTTAAATATTACATATTAATGGATTTCGACAAAAACAAAACAGCAGATCTGTTAATGAAAATATTCTATAATGATGTAGAATTTTTCAAAGTGATTTAAAAGCAATGAGAAATAAAAATATTAGTAATAAAATTGGAAAAAATCTTTCTCTCTCAGAATTAGATCTTCGGTATTATTTATCGTCTCACATTGTTTCACATATAGAAATTCGTACATAAGTGATTTTCAAATGTTTTGTATAATCTCTTTACTTCTGTTCTTATAATAAACTATCAGTAGAAAGAACTAATTTGAATACGAGGAATAGTCATTTCAGATGAGTCAAATTGAAGAAATAAATAGAATTTTTCATAATCGTATAAGTGTTAATTTCTTTCTGAGACTAATACGTTTCTAAATGAATGAAATAATCATTATATTGTTTAGTTATATTCTATTGGTAGCTTCATAATACTCGAGTAATTATGGATACACTTAAAATAGAACATGTATACCATTGATTATGTTCACAGATTCTCTTTTAGCAACATGAATTTCTATTTATAATTAATTCAATCATAGAAACATAAGTGCATGACTTGAAAAACTAATAATAATAAGCACGACATACTTATACATATATATTTTTAGGCATGTGTTTATCTACTGTCAATTTGTTCATGTAAATGAGTCTTATTCTCTGTTAATATGATTAGTGTTAATTATAGTACAACTCCCGCAAATACTATCAATAGTAAATCGAATATAAAAGAAGATTACTTGAAATAGTTTTTATACTATTATATAATATTTCAAAATAAAACTCGAGATTAATTCCATTATTAATTAATAACGACATCTAAAACGAAGCTTCTAATAGCTCTCCTCACATTTCAAAAGTATACTCAAGTATTATCAATAAAAGATATATATATATATGTTGCTTGAATAGTACGTGTCTTGTTCTACTAAGAACATTAGTAATAAGCAAAGATGAATTGGTTGCATACAAATTATGAAATGCACGAGAATCCTATAAGAAATAATTTAATGCAATTCAATGATGAACAAGCCACTGCTGTTACACGAGATCTAGAATTGCATCTTCAATTCTTTCTTATATTATTTGGGAAAAGAAAATGTCAAACAAATAATCTACTACATTGAATTAGATACACATATAGATTAGTTATTCCCTGCATTTCAATAAACCGGATATGACGGTATTCGATGTGTAGGAATGCTATTATTATTATTATTATTATTGTTATTATGAGTTGGTGATGCTCGATAGAATTGATTATGTAAACGATCAAGTAGTGTTAAGGGTTGAGGACGAACTAATTCAAGGCGCGATCGCCTTTGCTGCTGTGAACGATCAAGAAAATCACTGGTTGTTCGTGTTGATGTTAATAGAACTGAAAGTGGTGAACAAATATTTTCTGAAAAATGTGTTGAAATATCTTCATATTTTGTTGGAAACGGAGGATGTTGTTGTAATGAAATATCACGTCGGCGTACGCGTCGTGTTGAACATTTCTGTGCGGATAATGTTATTGGCTGATTATCATAGATACTTTTAATACGTTGTTGACGATAATCTGTACTGTATGAACGCTTTGCACCGTTCAATTTTTTTTCATAAACGAATCCATTCGTTATTTCTGTTGGCTCATCCGATGATGAACTTGATCGAGTAGTCGACGATATTATTTGATGTTTACGAATACGTCTACGGCGTTTACGAGTTGTACTTGATGATGATACGTCCACGGAATCATCTTCGCTTGAATAATAATTCGTTGCTGGTGGTGGCGGCGGTATATTCGATGTTGTTGTGCATGACGTTGAAAGTGACGGATAAGTTTTTGAAGAAGATACTATTGGTGATGAAGATATTTTTGAAGATACACTAATTGAAACGACTTGTCGTTTTTCTGGACTCATTACTTCAATACTTGTTTTAAGAGAAGAAATACCATTCGATAATGGAAAATTTGACGCATGCAAGTTTTCATAATCATCATCATTAGAGTCAACATTCTTTTGTATTGATGTTGAAGGTTGAACGATTAATTTGTCATAGATTTTATTTGGGTATGAAGATGTCGATGAAGCAGCCAAATATTGCTCGCATTCAAGTGTTAATGCACGAAATAAATCATCTAACGTAGAAGAATTCAGAAGAGGTTGCTGTTGTTGTAGATCAGATTCATAAGTACAATGACGCTGTCGGCGATGTTTTAGTGATGAAGAATTGCGCCGCGGTGGTAGTGGTACTATTGATGAGGGTGATTGTGTTACTATGGTCGAAGGGTGATAATCATGCTCGGCAAATGTTAATGATGGTATTGCCTGAGTTGAAGACACTTGATGAAATTCGTTAGTCGATGTAGATTCACTTTTAAGTATATCTGATAGAAGAAGATTCAATTGATGTTTTGTATTCATTTCTGTTTTTGATATAGTCTAAAATAATAAATAGAGGTATTTCGAACATTCATCTATTCAATAGTGATACGTGTCTAGACGTATGTTAATCGAGCGTATCATGAAAATCTAAAAGTCAATTTTTATAATTAACATTGAAATTCAATTTTCAATTAATTTTTGTGCTCTACGAAAACTATTCCAATCATAGTTACAATTACAATTGAAAAAATATAAAAGAAACAAATATATTTTATCATAATTAATTGCTATTTATCACTTGTACTAACAAATTATCGTTAATATTATTGACATAGCAATATCGAAATAAATTATACATCGTCACTATTACTATGTTATTCTTACCGTTGATGATTATTTACTTGACCATAAAAAAGAAAGAATCATATTGATCACAATGTAAATCATATTCTTGTTAGTTATTCTACTTGAGTGAAAAGCTAGGAACAACAATAATCATGTTAGATAGAGATGGTAAAGGAAGAGAGAAAAAAATAGGAGAAACTGACATCTTTTTTCTGTTTGTCAGTGTGATAAGTGTGCGAAAAGGAAAGAGAAAGAAGACGAAGAAGACTATCCTTTTTGTGTTTAGAGGATGAAATAGTCAAGGTTAGCGGCTTGTATTCTCTTTTTTTTTCTCTTCTTCTTTTCCTTCGTCAATCGTTAACATACAGAACACGAACTCTGGTAAACGACACACATGCACAAAAATAAGAGAAGAAGGGTAAGACAGAAAGCGGAGATGAATGATTATCGACATTCACGTCTGTCAACCAACGCTCCTTTTCTCTATTGATGATGACAATAAATACTAACAATGTCTATTCATTCATCTCGAAACATGCAAGAGGCTTCCGACAATTGATGAACTCCATATAATAAAACGAATGTGGAACTTAGGAAGAATAAAAGAAACTATGGCATCACTAATTTTATTCATCTCTCTTCTCCTACTGTGATATTGTAGACGCGAAATGCAAATTCAAACCATAAAAAGGATAAAACTCATCATCACTCTTCATTCGTTGCTTTAATTTCCCACTAGGTTTGCATAGGCACAGCCAATGCTCAACGTAACGTAACATAATAGTATATTTCACATAATGCATGATTGCGCCATAACTGGCGTGTCTTTCTTTCCTTTTCTTTTTTTTTGTCACATTTCTATTCAACGTTAATGGGACTGTTTAGCATACAATAAAATTTCCTTTACTGATGATGACTGGTTAGAAATCAAGAGTACTCTCGCTTGTGGTCGCAATAAGAATACCTAGACGAAGTCTATCTATAATTATAGATCGGAATTCAACAAATACGTACTATTGATCGATGATTATATACATACAATACAAAGAACAGAATGGGATACTTTAAATGACTTATGTGTTATATCTGATATTAGAGTGCGAGATGTATATAATGCTTTGAACCATCTGTCTGTCTATTGGGATACATATACATGTCTGTTTTTACAGAAGGCTAATAAGTTTCAAATGTCATTAGTATTTACATTTCATTTTCATGTATAAAAAATTAGTTTGCAAATCAACACAACGAAAAATATATGATACATGATGCTGATAGTAAATCACGTCCGTCGTTTCATTGTTTATTCTGTTAAATGTCTACTTCACTTATATGATGATATCATAATCATAATAATAGTTCCCGCATTCATAAACTAAACTAAAACAAAACAGAATGCTATAATCTTATTCATACTAAAGCAATTTATGATCGGCTATAACAATTTTATATCTTTTGTTTTTGGTTTCAATATTAAAAATTTTCATTAAACGAAGATTTAATTTAAGAAAATGATCATCAACGAGTCTTGGTAGAACTATAATTGAATATAAGAGAAATTAAAATTTATTTCTTCGTTTTCTTTTCAATTATTTCTAGTGAATCTATTATTCTAACTAAAGTAAAATAAATAGTTGCATTGATTGTAACTGATTCATACATGCCACAGTATTTTCATTTTCATTTGAATAATATTTGTAAATGAAGCCAAGCAAAAAAATATAAACTTTTTTTACACTAAGTATTTCTATTATGTTTCAATGGAATAATCTGATCGGTTACAAAAGAGAAAATTAAAAAAAGCAATACCAGTGTTTCTTTTTCTTTTCGTAATATTATCTCGACAGATTAAATAATCGCGTGAGAACATAACAAGCTGGTGAACAACTTCAGATATGATTACAAAATGAACAAATATCTAGTAAATATAACTTCATATGGTATGGATTAATAATATAATTCCCATTCTGATGATCATCCTTGAGAAGATAGATAAAAACTGATTCGATTAGAAAATAGTCTAAACACTTTGGTCAATATTTTGATTGAATCGAATTTGACATATCAATGACCTCGGAGCTTTTAATAATATCAATCGATTACGTTTTTTTTTCATAGTCAATATAAAGATTCTGTTATAAAAAAAAAGTACAAAAAAAAATCGTTCTTTTCTTTTCGTCCTGCAGCACATCAACATTTAAATAAAATCTATTTTCTTACGTATTATATAAAGTAAATACCAACTAATAACATAGAATTTTTCTTCCGATATGATATTCTACCTTTATGCTACAAAAAAAAACTATATAATATCTTTGGTGAAGATATGTTGTTTGTTCGATGATATGAATCCTTTTAATCTGAAAAAGAAATGAAAAATATTAATTTGCTTGTTTTTGTTTCTTTTTACTCTCATACGTTCTTTCTCTTTTAAATTGTTTGATGAAAACGTTCTAAAGTGTCAAATTACTATTTACGAGATTGAAATTTCTTATTAATGAAAAAAAATATTGTAAATTTAAAATATTAATCCCATATGACTCTTATTTGGTTCGAGAGTATAATTGCATACCGTTGGTTATTTTCAAGATAAAGATAAAATTAATCTGATCATAACGAAGAAGAAGATCAGAATTTCAGAGTAATTTGGTAGGATGAATGTTTTAAATGGAGTTTCTATTTGCGATTAATGTATAATAAAAGGATTATTTCAATGAATCGATAGAATTCTTAACAAAATAAACTAGCTTCACCTGAACAACATTCTTGCATTTCATGAAATCTATATTTAAATAAAAATGCATCAATTTCAGCGCACAACTATAGGTTAAATCGACTCGTTCGAGTAACCATATGATTTCATTTGTAATCCAAACATGATTCATAAACAACAGTTTAGCAATCTTTTTCTATATTCTAGGAGTGGTTTATAATGATTGTTTTTTTGTTGAAGTATTAATAAGTACTTATAATTTATGAGCATGTGATTTACAACTTCTAAGTACCTAGAACAACTGCTTTCTCTAGATTAAATATGAATTAAGCTGAAAATATGGATGCAATAACATCTGAAAACAATTTTGATTATTATGACGTTAGTTCTATTATCGATCATATATTCCAACAGAAGGAAACTGATACAAAAAAAAACTTTCTCTCCATCTGTTGGTTTATCTTCTGATTGCAAACAGAGAAAAAGTCAACTATAATAGAAATGTCGCCGGTAACCACCATCGATCTCAGAAGAAACAAACGAGATTTCTTCATCTATAAAAAGATCTCATTTATTCTGTATTTGTCTCATTTCAATATTAACTGAACACAATACAGAATCTTCTTTTAATATTTGACTTTTGCTTCGTACGATCAAGTTCTTCTATTTCTTTCTCTTTTTTTTGTCTGTTCGTTCTCTGTCTGACAACATAAAAAACCGCCGCTACCGTCGTCATCGATTGATTTTGCTTTGTAGTGGTACATGCATACATACACATTCATATACATATACATAAAATACAATTGAATCGAAAGAAAAACGACGACGAAAGTCATCGTCAGCATTTTGACACCGTCATTCATCAAACACTCATCATTGATTCTTGACGAACTAATACAGAATATAACTTATACGAGTAAGAGCATATCGTATATTTTCATAGTATACTATGATGATTATTATTATTGTTATTAGTATCATCAAGTATTATATATGAAAATAATTTGATTGGTGTTATTTTCTTGTTTAGTTATGATGAAGATATTATATTGATAAACTCATTTTTAATATTAGAAAATAGAATTCATATATATAATTATTGTTCTTGCGATATGTTTTTGTCATGGTCAGTGTTCTTCTTTTATTCTGTGTGTTGGACTTTCATATTCAGATAATCAACGGTAAGTATTAAATAAACAAATAAACATATATATATATACAGAGAGAGAGAGAGAGAGAGCGAGTTTGTAAGAACAAAGAGAATCACAATTGTTACTTTCTCTTTTACTGTTAAGAATAGCTTGTAATTTTCGGTGAACTTTTTCGTATCAAACGAAGAAAATCAATTTTCTTCTTCTTTTTCTATTATTCTTATATATTCTGACATTTTAATCGGAAATCAGAAACGACGACAGCTTTCAAATTAGAATGTGGAACTCAATTCAACTATGTACTTTCATTAATTCATCTGCTGTGACATTATACACTTGAAAAAAAAAACAGAAAAGAAAAAAGCCTACAGAAAACTAATTACTAATAGAAACTATTATGACAAATGTTTCAAGAAACATGAATGCAATTTAATGAAATGAGACAAATCAAGGATAATAGAAATATGGGATCAATAGGAACAAAGAAAAACGTTTCTATTTGTTAATAATTTATTTTAACATTTCATCTTCTAGCTGCCTGCAGTGTTCCACTTGGTTTAAGTACAGGTGAGATAAAAGATTGGCAAATAACAGCAAGCAGTATTGATGAGCAACGCAAAGAACAATGTCAAGCAAATTTTATCCGTCTTTATTCAAGTAGTAATAATCAAGCTTGGTGTCCAAGAATAGATCAATCACATCAATGGATTCAAATAGATCTTGGTACACCAACAAAGGTAAGGATCTCATGAAAAAAAATGTTTCTTTTTCTTTTACTTTTTTATTGAATTTATTCACACTAATAGTTACATGGCTTCATGACACAAGGTCGACCTGGTTCAAGAGAATGGATTACATCTCTACTTATATCACATAGTCTTGATTATTACCATTGGAATTATATAACAGACAGTGATGGTAATCAAAATATTTTTACAGCAAATCATGATGCTGTTTCCATTCGTTATCAATATTTTCGAACACCATTCAATACACGATTCATTCGTTTTCATATTGTTTCCTGGCATTTACATCCGAGTCTTCGCTTAGAACTTGTCGGATGTCCAGGTGAAGAGTGACTTTGCTTTTAATCTAATGCTTTTGTTTTTCTTGTTCATTGTGTTTAGAATGTAATAAACCGTTGGTTTTCGTTCCATATACACATTTTTCAGCCTCGTCATCTGTTCCAATTCGTCATCGCACTTCATGTCAACCACGTGATGCTTTTATATTAAGTAATAAAGGATGGTGTGCACGATATAAACAAGGTTTGAACCGTCTTTTTACTTTTGCCTTTACTGAAAGCAATACCAATTCTTTTTTTACCACTTGATTTCAAGTCCACGACAATTGGTTACAGATTGATATTGGTCATCCAACACGTATTACAGCATTGGTAACCAAAGGACGAGGTGATCGAGGTGAACAGTGGGTTACCAAATATATAGTAGCTTTTTCTAATGATACGCATCTATGGGTTTATTACAATGACGCTCAACGGACAGTACCAAAAGTAAAACACAGATTCAATTCATTATTTTCTCTTTTTCATTATATTGTGATCTTGCTTACCTTTTCAGATGTTCAATGGTAATTATGATACGTCACTTGAACGCATTCATTATTTAAATCAACCGTTTACTGCACGATTTGTTCGATTCTTTCCAAAGGAATGGAATAATAGATTATCGATGCGAGCTGGTCTACTTGGATGTCCACATAATGGTATTCAAATTTAAGAACAAAACAGAAAAAAAGAAATCAAATTAATTTTTTTTAGGTCCTTGTTGTCTTGGCTATTTTCGTGTACAACCTGAAACACCATGTGGTTTGTAGCAGATAGATATTTGCTTTCAAGTAAACATTTCTTAATCTTTTCTTTTTAGTGGAAAATCTTGTTCATCGAAAATCTGTATCCCTCAACGATCTTACTCAATCACCAATTTATTCTTCTCAACAAACATTTTTATCCTATTTAAACGATGGTTATGATTCTCCATCACGTTGTACAACAATTGATTCAACACGTTGTAGAAATGGAGAACCACAAATCGTCATTGATCTGAATCGAAATCATTACATTCATGGTATAATCATTCAACAACTTGATACATGTAAGAAAAACATTTCGATGATTTATGTTCGTAAAAAAAATCAAGTTCTTCATTTGTCTTCAGTTTCGCATTTATCTCAAGATGATTATTTATCACGACTTCAACTCGATCGTATTATTGTCTATATCACACAGGACATGTATTTTGATTCACATCAATACAATAAAGCGCAATGTTCACTAGTTACACGTAAGAATTACGGTATTCTATCTCACCGTATACATCTTCAATGTCAAACACCGATGATGGGTCGGTTTATTCATATTCAACTTGTTGGTATAAAAACAATAACAAATCGAACACAAAAACGATTATCGCTACCATTCAAAGCTCATTTTTGTGAAATATATGCTTATAACTAATTTGATTTTCATATCCGGTGAAGAATATGAATTCGATGTGCCGATGCAAGAAAAATAAAATGAATCTCAATTAAATATATCAGGGATTTTGATTGATGTGTAGAATTCAAGTTTTGTTTTACATAATAAAAAAATGAATCCGTTAATAATAATATATATATATACAACAATAAATAAATAAATAAATAAATAAATCACTAAAAACAAATATATATTAATTGAATTAAATCATATAAATGGTAAAAGTAAATAGTAGCTATGAATGAGTTCTTCTATATAAAAATAATGACCTGTATTACATTTGTTTACAATAAAAAAGAACCGTTTCCATTACAAGATTTTTCTGATTTAAAATACGGGCATGTCTTTTATGTGCATATTTTAATGAATCTATCACATAAGTGTTTGATTATGAAACGAATATTTATTGTTTATGAGAAAAAAAAATCAATTTAATATTCATATTTTTAAGTAATTTGAAGTTATTGGTCTTCTTGATTCACTTCAGCTTTGATTCAATAAATAAGGTAATAGTTATATGTCAAAATGAATATCAGAGCTCGTTTTTTAAATGTTTGATGAAAATATTATCGAATATTAAGTTTGTAATTTCAATAATTATACATTATCTGTCATTAATTGAAAGATTCTTATAATAGCCATGAGGCTGTGTTTTTTCCTATGAACTATTTTTGGTATCATTAAATATAATTGGAATACTTTCTTCTTCTACAAAGAAAATTTTTCAAGATTTGATCATAGCTATTTTTATTTATATTCACAAGAGCTCCAAAATTTAATCATAAATATTTAATTTCAATTTTTTCCGAAGTAACGATTAGCATAACTAATCTAAACAGCGATCTGAATACAAAATATTGTGATGAACAAGAATTTAACAGAAACAAATCTCTGATCGTATTCCCAAAGTTCAGAATGTTTAATAGAATTGACAGCATAATTTGCCGACAAAAATAGCTTAAAATAAAATGGATTTTTTTTCACTATGCAGAACAATAGAATTCTATGAAGGAAATTTTAAAAAATCTTTATTTTGTTGATTATTTTATGAATATTGAACAAGAAGACTTTTGCATTTTTGATTAGCATCATTGTGTTTGATGACTATGCATATTGATATGAAGAGTTAATACACGACATGATATATAATGTGTTCGGAGCCATTAGTCTATTTCTATCAAAGATTTCGTTCCAGCTTGTAACATTTAAGCACGATTATTTCATTTTATTTTAAAACAATTTTGTTTCTGTTCATTGTTCAGAACATTCCTGTACGTATATGATCTTTGTAATTCATATAAGTTGCTGTATTTTTAACATGATAGGATACATTCGTTTAAATACAGTCGGCACTAGACGAAAGATTTTGTTCATTCAAACTCTGTTAAAAATCATAATTTGACCACAAGTGTTCTTGCATAACACTTAAGCATATTTATTATGAGCAAAATTAGTCACAAAGCAGTCTCTGTATGGATTTTGGACTTGTTGCAACAGGCTAGCTTAACTTCAATATTGGTCTTTGCTATTCATCAAAAAGAATCATAATACAATATAGAATCATAGTTCTAAACAATTTCAATAAGTCTTAAATTCGTGTCGAAAATACTAGCTATATGATTCTTGTGAAAGCACAAATAACAAGACAGTTAGCTTCAGGATCGCAAAAGTTAGAAATGGTCGTAAATATATGTAAACATTACGAATAGCTTATGTACACAAATTATGCTTTCAAGACATTTGAGTGGAAATCTTTTGTTCGAATTTCGATTTTCTTTACAAAGGAAAAAGCAAGACATACTCATTAGTAGGTAATTAAAAATCTATTAAAATTTATGTTTGTTTAGATTCTGTCGATTGTATTTCCGATATTTAACGAAAGTCAAACACAGTGAAGTTTGCAGATAACTTTTTTACTGGGAGAAATTACATCAATCTCACAAAGAAAGATAGCACCAATCAGGAAGAAACTTCTATTAACAAGTATTTTAATTAGTTTCATTTTCATTGCCAAACGATCGAGACGTGTAATCATAGTTTAAAGTAACAAACAAACAAACAATATGCCTGCATTATTAGTAGTTTTCTTCTTCTATGATTGTGTAAAGAGAAGAGTAATTTTTCATGACAGTTTGACTTTTAAGAATAAACGAATTTTTTTACGAATGAGACCATTGATCAACTGACATCATGACGCATAACATACGATTTTTCTTTTCGTTTCATCACTGCATTGCAACAAACTTTCAATCAGAAAGTGGTAAAGGCCACGTATATGAATAAAATCTCTCTCTCTCTTAATATTTATATAAATGCAAACGTAACGCAAAACATATGTGTTTGCAGGAGAAGAAGAAAAAAAAGGCAAAGACAAGAAATGTATTTTTTTATGCCGCTGAATAATGTAAAAGAAAAGAACAAAAAAAATGGAGAAGGTCTCAGGGTAACGTAAAAACTTTGACAAGAAGCGGAATCATCAAGGTTGTAGAGAAAGGAAAAAAATCTTACTTCTTTTCTATTTTTTTGGTTTGTAAGCACGCGTGATTCACCATGAAATGGCAAGGTTGTTCGCAAATTTTTCAAACATTCGTAGTTAGTATCATCCTTTGTTGTCTTATCCAAGGTTCGTTCACTTAATAAGTCCAATGAGTGCAATGTCACTTTTAATTATTTTTCTATATTAGTTGATGGCAAAAAAATACGTCGCCGACGTCAATATATTTACAACAACTATGGTAATTATGCACTGAATCCTGCAGCAGCATCCTACTATGACCCGAATGGTGCTGATATCTATTCGAATAATGCTCACCGATACAATCGTTTCGTTGTTGGTGGAGTAGCTTATCAATATCCAACGCCTGTTAATGTTATGAGTGGTGGTTCCTACAATCCACAACAATATAATGCTTATCCAAGTGGAGCTAGTGGTGATTATTATGGTAATACCATAAACGTTGTGTTCTAAACAAAAGAATAATAATAGTTTTGTCTTCATAGCTAATATGAACAATATGAGATTACCGTCACCAGATGGATGGTATTCCGCATATTATTTTCAAGGATATCCTTTTCTACCACGCTATAATAGTGCTCAGCGTCATTCAAATATGGCAATCATTATTAAACTATTTTTTATGATTTTTACCTGCCTGATTTGTGCAAATGTTCTGTAAATACGTATTTCATTTAAGACATGTGTTCTTAAGCATAAAAGTATATTAATTACATAAAAATAAATTTAGATCATTCTTCTGTAGTATCTAATCATTTTCATGTGATATCTGCCTTTTTTAATTTAAAATTGATTAATTTTTATGAGGTTCAATATTGTTAAACTGTTCGATACAGGGCTCCTAATGGGATGGGATAATCCCATCCCATCCCATGGGACAACTTGTTTTCTTGAGATATCCCATGGGATGGGATGGGATGAGTTCCTAATTCCATGGGAAATGTGATTATTTTTTTTAAAGAAAAATGATTATTCATTTATGTCACACTTGACAATAGGTGAAAAGTGTGAATATTATCATTCTTTTTCTGTACTGGTCATTAACCCAACTCCGAGCTCTATTCGAACAATTGAATAAAGAATACGATAAAACATAGAAAACAGAAATAAACATAAATGTTCTTTTTGTTTGAATGTTTTAATAAAATATCATCATCTTTTGTTTTATAAATTGTTCAATATCACCTTCTATAATTATTTCTTCCTCATTATCATCCTTAGTTTCGGATAAACAGGAATATTCAGTTGAGAAAGTCAAATTTCGTTTACAACATCACAAGCAGAATTAAAAGGTATTGATAATGATATTCCAAGCAGGAATGCACCAATTTCTAGTACATGGTACGATAGATACAAATTTTGCCTAATGTAGGAGGCAGGCGTCCTCTGATTCCGTTCCAGATATCAGCCAAGATCATCTTTTTCGATCTATGAAAAACTATGATCCAAATTTATTAAAGATGAAAAAGCGTTTTTGGATTTGACTCCCAATTCCAATTTTCAAGTCGTTTTCCGTCAAATTCTGCCAAATCCAACCTAGTTTCAAACTTTCAATTTGCATTACACAAATTCTAAGAATAGATTTGAAAAAGAGTTCAAAACTGAACAGAAAAATATGAAGAAAGAGATGTTCAATCGATAATTCTCACTACCGGGCACGTCATTTTTAAGTAGGGAAAAGATCCAATCCCGTCAATTCCTTGAATTTTTTATCCAATGTTTACATGTTCTCAGCATTGGGAGTTATGGATTAAGCCTCTTTTTACTTATTCTTTTTTTCTGTTCAGTCTTGAACGTTCTTTTCAAATCTATTCTTAGAATTTGTGTAATGCAAACTGCAAGTCTGAAACTGAATTGGATTTGACCAAAAACGACTTGAAAATTCAAATTCTGAGTCAAATCCGAAAACGTTTTATAATCTTTCATAAATCTCAGCTATCGTTTTACATAGAGCAAAAAAATGGTCTTGGCTGATATATGGAATCAGAGGACCGCTCCACTCTACATCAGGCAAAAATGTCATCTTTCTTGCAATGTACTAGAAATTGGTGCATCCCTAATTCCAATATTCAAATCGGAATGCTGGAAAACTTCGAATTTTCAGTTACAAAAAAAATAAACCTTGATTTTCAGTAAGATTTTTCGTAATATAACCAATCCCATGGGAGCCCATGGGATGGGATGGGACGACTTGCATTATCCCACGGGACGAAAATTTCGTCCCATCCCATCCCATTAGGAGCCCTGGTTCGATAGTATGTTAGGATCGATAGACTTCAGAAGTGTTGTTATTCATCTGTTCATACTGTTGCATATGCCGTAACAATAGTTACCCCATGATTCTTTGTTTCTTCTGGTTTCCCCCCGTTGATGGCAAAAATAAAAGGAGAAAAATAAAAGCCAATCAGAAACTTTGCATTAAAATACACAACGTCGGCAAATTTTACTTTGCATTAAAGTACACAACGTCGGCAAATTTTACTGTGCATCGAACAATCACAACTAATAATGGAAGGCAACCAAACAGCAGAAAATTTTAGTGAGTAGAGAAAAGAACATTACAAGAGTGAGTTTTTTTATTTCGTAGCTGGTACTCCGACTGGACAATTCATACCTAACAATAATCAACCAGAATCTCCACCACCACCATATGATCAAGTAACTCAACAAAGATCAAATAATCAAAGCAATCGTAGAAATGAAAATGGTAGAGACAGTTCTATACAACCATGTTGCTGTATTTGTTTTGGGTGCGATTGTTCTAATTGTTGTTGGTGCTGCGAGTGTTGTTTCTCAATCAACTGTCCAGAAATTTTAAATGGATTGTGTTCATGTATAAACTGTGATGCTTGTGTATGCTCTAATTGCAATTGCTGCACAGAATGTTTAGGTGGATTATGTTCGTGTATAAACTTTAATGACTGCCAATGTCCCAATTGCGATTGTTGTTCAGATTTAGACGCCTGTGGTGCTATTATGAGCGCGTGCGGTGCGATTTTTTCCTGTTTTGTTGAAATGAGCAAATCTTAAATCACAGTTCGAGACTTTTCTGTAATATAACATGTTTGAAACAAGTGCAAGTATCATACTATTATGACATAGAAAACTTGGGAAAAAAATATCACAAGTTCGAAATATAGATGGCAAATGAATCTCATTCAATCAAGAATAAAGAATCCCATAATAGGTGTACAGGAACCAATATAAATTGCCTAATTCAATGTAAATGACAAAAGAAAAATATTTTTACTTTTTAAGTTATTTTCTAAATTTGAGTCAAAGTTATATTGAATATTTATTGTAATCGGATAATATTTAAGACTGATTACACCTTAAATTTTACAATGAATTCATCAAACACTATGATTCATTAAATATATATTCAAAGTTTATAGTCACTGTGACATCATCTAGAGTTATTTCATTTGCATATGCGCATGATTCAACAGTACACGAATAAGATATTTTTTTACAGGTTTAAAAGTTTAATGATTACTGATAAAAACAATTTAATTCTGAGAAAGTCTAAAACTGAGAGTACTGTCGACATATAAGAGTATTTTCCTTCATAACATATCGTTTCTTATAACGGAAACATCGTATAACACATGGTCTGACGGAACAAGTGTTTGTTTGCTGCTTTCATAAAAAAATACTTTCAACACGAAGAGTAGCAATAAACCCAAAAAAAGTGAAGTTATAATATCATTCTAAACCTTCAGAAAAAGTTCTATGAAACAATAGCAATATCTCGATGCTTCTGATAGAGTAGACTTAGCATATTCAAACATGTACTATGACAGGTAGCACAGAAGACTGTATTTCTTCTTCTTACTGTTTCTAAACAAAATGAGTAGTAATCTAAAATAAGTTTTTAATAGATCAACCTGTGTTTTAGCCTTCTATATTAAAACTATCTAATTGTGATAACATTTCAGTATTGATTAAACTGATTAAACGAAAACTAAAGTGACAACATATTTGATTAAACGGAATTCGAATCTGAGCAAAGCGCATAGAGACAGAAAACAAAAAATACCTTTCTATTTTCACCACGTTGAAAAATAGAACGAGACAGGTCATATGAGACAAGTTGCTGCTAGAGAGTTATTGTAGGATCATTTCAAGATGGATAACTTGTGTGTTTGAAGATAATAATTACTCGATCAATATTTGTTGAGTGTATCTGGTAATTACGCCGAAATAAAGAATTAGGATGACAATTTGGACGATGACGACAACGAATAATGACACATTGGAGCTTACTTCATAATTTCCTTGCGATCTCCGCTTATTACAATAGCATAAAAAGCATTTTCACTAATATCATAATTTTCATTATTACTCGATAACACTTTTTAAAAGCAGTATCTCATTTCTGAAATCCTAATTAAAAGTTTTGAAAAGTCACAAACATCACGATGGTGCATTAGGTCAGACAGAATGTTGACCAGTATATTTCTTCTTATTTATGAGAGGATGCCATGATTGTTTTTTTTCTATCGAATTTATTGGTTATGATGATATTTCAGCACGTCTGTATTGCTATTATGAATCTATGAACCACGAAATCATGTACAATTTATAGAAAAATATTTAGGGATCATTTAAACATTGTAATAACATTAACTCCTGTAGTTGTTGATACTTAAAATAACGTTTTATATTTTCTATATGACTTCTCGTCCGATCACTTCTTGTATTCGTGACTTCTTTTTCTTTTGTTCATCTACAAGGCATACAAATGTCACTTCTCTACGCATGACTTTTCTCTCAGTAAAAGACAAATACTCTAAGATAAATAGTTAAATATCTTGTTTTTCTCTGTTTCATTTTAAATATATACATTTATCTAGGCAAAGAGGTTATACGTATGTGATGTCAATTTCTATGATCTCCAATACAAAGGAGAATCTATATCGAGTAACTCAACAGCCTGATACATCAGACAAATTAGAATATGCACCGAAGTCAAACGAAACGCAAAGTGGTAAAAGTTCTTCACGAAACTGGAGTAGAGATCATTGGTGGAACTGTTGCTGTTTATGGTACTGGTGTTGGTGGTACGCCTACAATAATAATCAATCGAATTCAGTCAATGATTGTTGTTGCTTATACAATGATTCTGGCTTTGGATGTCACTTAAGTGGCTGCAGTGACTGTGACTGTGACCTTTTAACTTAATTGACTCAGGAGTTTCTTATTTAGATTTCTCTTGTATCATAAAAATAAAGCATTATAATTATTTATTTATTTTTATCAGTCCATATCGACTGGGCTGTAGATCATCAACACATTAAAGTAAAGCGATAGATTTAATTGGTTACGATTGTAAAATAATTTTTAAAGAAGGTTTTTATTTTGTAAAAATTTGCAAATATTGAACTACATCTACGATTAAAAGAGCGTGCATTTTGTCGAACACCGATTTTATGGAGTTCTAAATATAGTTCACGCAAAAACAATTTTTCAATGGACACATCTTTTTAAAAGAACTGTGTACCCGATATCAGCTCTCTCTCTCTCTCTCTCTCTACGATCTGATCAAGGGAGAAGTAGGTGATTTCAATAGCTGAAATCCTCTGAAATCAGTCGAAATCACTAGACATAATCGTTATCTGTATGCGCTGCGGAAAAGATTGAAATCCAGGAAAATTTAAAATTTTGACAGAAAAGATCAAATTTTCTGGTACTCCTGTCAAATTTTTAATGGCCATGTAAAATTTTTCAGAATTTTCTTTTCTCTATGAATGTACACATGAACATTTTGAGAAATTGGGATGTACAATGAGATAGATACGAAAATATCAGCTTCCAATTTCGCTTCTGTTGACTTTACTGCAACAAGTATAATGACCTAACGGTATATGGAATTGGTAGATTGGTCGATTTGTAGAGATGGTTTGTGGTCTGCACATAGATGATGTCGACCGGTTCATGGGGTTTTTGCAGGCTGACCAATCTACCAGTTCCATATATATGAGATATTAGTATAATAGAAGTGATCATAATTAATTAAAACCACTTTTTGACTAATAGTAATGATAAATAACAATAACTCAATGACACTAGCGTTCAAGCATACTATCAAACTTCTATTCAGATATTATCAATAGTTTTTTGCATTATTCTTGATCACTCATGTGTGACAAAAATTATTAGCGCAGTCTCTTTAAGGCTAATATTTCGAACTCATATGCATCATTTACGATAATAAACTAAATCATAAAAAGTTTAGCATAAAATCTCCGTAATCATCTACCTCATTTGTAAGGCGTACAATCCGACTCGTAACTATTTGCTAATGTCTGCAATGGAACGATAAACTAGATACTAGTGTCTGTAATTATGAAATAGCTTGCTTCTAATGTCTATAATCGGCAGTTCTCATTATTTTTTGTATTGTCATGACGAAAAGAAAGTGGAAATAGAAGTCTAACTTCTGTAATCTCTCATTAGTTGAGAGAGTAGTCATTAATCTCTATCGTGGAAAGAGGAAAGAGACTTTAAAAAGCTTGTACTTAAACTAGGGTGTATATGTGGGTATGAGAAAAGAAGAGGCACCCCACATCCACACCTTCATGAGCAATCAGGCTCGATTGTGTGTAGGTACTACATATCGTGCTATGAGTATCGTGAGTCTTTTCAAACTGTATAGATCTTTCAATGTGAGAAGTCTACAAACTAGCTATTGTGTGTATTTTATTTGAGAATGAAGTAGACTCTATTCATTTGTTTTAATATAGATTCTTTTATGGAGAATTAGACCCATGTGCACAAGTTTCCATGGCTACCTTACTTTTCGCATACTCAGCATGGGTTTCTAGTCGTGTACAATAATTTTGCCTTGCAATGTTTGACAATTTTCTAATCGAGACATGCATAGAGCTCTGTTATGTGTATAGCTACTGTTTACTTCTTTGATTCCACTATTGGTAGAACAGTTATCAAACAGCAGGTTTGACAGCTCATGACTTTGCTATATATTCCATTTTGCTAATCCACATGCAAAGTAAATTGGGTAAACTTAAGAGAAATCTTAATACCGCAGTTTCCTTGTACAAAAGTTACGAAGCTGATCGGACTAAGGTTAGCCCCAGTTACTGCAGTGACGGTCTGATAATTGAGTTAGAGTTTGACTGAAATTAGAAGTTAGTATAATCCTATTCTTAACATCTGACTTTTCTTCCAAATAGGTGATACTTATGGTAAAGCTAATTGTGCAATTTCAGAAAATAATGCATCGTTTGATCGATAAGGAAAAAATAACTCCTTCCATACAACTGAAGTCCTCATATGCATAGTAGATTCTCTTTGAAGTTTCTGAATTTCTCTAGATCAATGAATTTCTTATTACAACACACGGAAACTGGAGTAGAATTTGATGTACGATTTGGATAAATTTCTTCATGAAAATCAATGAATTCTGTGTTTTGTTTCTGTATGGAGCGAATCGAATCAAGATTTTCTTGCTGATTCCGATCCCTGTTGTCAAGCGATATTCAATGGTTAGAAATTGTCAAAAGTTCTTATTTTTAACATTTTGCAAATAACTACGAAATTAATTTTGTAATATCGGGTATTTTTTCTTTTGCTTCTGCATTCTATAGATTTCTTCGCTAAAACTTATATTTTCTTATACATTCTATCTGCGTATGTTAATACGAGTTCATAAACGAAAAACATTTTAACCGTAGTAAAAAATATAAGTATTATGACAAATTGGTGAAGTCATCGGAATTCACATGAAATCAATTGAAATCATGAAATCAGTTACTTCCCCCTTGGATCTGACAGAAGTCTATTTAATAGATGTTTCTGCTTGTGGATGTGTAGGGTTCTCTCTCTCTCTCTCTCTCTGAAGGTTTATTCTTGTGTGAAATGGTGTAAGAAACAAATATTCGACTACATTATCGCCTATGATCTGTTATTTTATGCAAATTATTTTGATGAAAAAAATTGTGATTTGTATCACAAAAATATTGAATATAACATTTCTGTTTCAAAAGAAATCTAGAGTGGTGAAAGAAGTTGAACAACAATGTCCTGTTTTTCTTTACTTTCTGTAAAAACACAACCGACAACAAGTCGTTCAATGACTGCTATATTTAGTAAGTACATGTATATAAACTCAACAAATTTCAGTTTGCTTATCGCAAATACGCCTTCATTTCGACTACAGTGAAAGATAATATAAAAAAAACGAAAAGTGCTCATTTGTTAGTATGCTTTGTGTGATATAACTAGTAATAGTTCTTTTATCGAGCATACTCCATGAGAGAAAACAACTTCTTCCGTACAATAAACTAATTTATTTTGAAAAATCTTAATGTTACAGTTCTGAAAAAAGTTTGCATTTGGAAATCTGTAAGATGCTCGGGGAAAATCAGATTTTTTATAATTTTTTAGCAGAAAAAATGACGTTGAATTAAATCTATTGAGATTCAATGAAGGTACTTCTCTATCGATCATGATAAATTATTTACTTTCCTTAGTGACAGTTAACTTCACTACTAATAAGACTTTTGCCAATTTTTGAGAATTTGTTATTTTCGTTCTGACGTAGTCTGATAGAGTGTAAAGTTCTCGACAAAATGGGCATGCTCGGAAACTATCAAATATGCTAGCTCATAAAAAGTGAAGTTCATTTTTTTGGAAATGTTTACAACGCAGAAGAATCGCAGTGAGTTTAAACAAGGGATGGCCCTACTCTGTGATAATCGTATTAAGAAAAACTGGAACTTTTATTAGATTTATGTGTTTGATAACTTAAAGACATGACATTTTATTGAAAATTTTATAGTTACTGCTTCAGACTACGCCAGAATGAAAATAGCAAATTCTCAAAAATTCATAAAATCGTCAAGCTAGTGAATTCGTCTGCTACTGCAGAAATCAAATGATTTATTTAGGTCGATCGAGAAGAACCTTTTTCTAGTTAATCTCAATAGATTTAAGTCAACGTAATGTTTTTGTTGAATCAAGCTATAAGAAAACTGGTATTTCTTGGTCATGAGTACATTAAAGATGAACACGATTATTCATCTCTGATATAAAATAACCTGGATCGGCATGATACTGGTTATTAAATACATTCGTGCCTATAGATATTGTATTATGACTACAATGTATAAGTTTCATATTTCGAATAATACGTCAAGATCACAACACAGTTTAAAGTTATCAGAAATTAAATCTCGATAGAGATTTAATAATAAATTCGTTAGAAAATCATTCGTCATTCGACTCGACGAATCTAATACTGAATCTTTTTAGTCTACTTTACGACTTTTATATCAGCTAGTGTTCTTCAATTACAGAAATAAATTTCAATGAGTGTAAACATTAAAATTCAAAAATAAGTCTATTCAATAATCATCTATATCTGACACAATAATTAACTGATGATCAATGTATATCATTATAAATTCGAACCAAATCTATACAAACTTTAAGTCAACAGTTGATCCAGTACGCTCAAAAATATTTTTACATTTATTATTTGCTAGTAATATTCAATATCGAATTAATCAGTATCAGATAGATTTATCATGGTTATGTTTTCTCAAAGTACATTTTGAAATCAGTTTAAAAGTCGACCGAACTCTAAAGATCCTTATAACTAAACAGTATAATAGAGATAGTTTCCAATGGGATAAGTATTGATAAGAGGTACACATATTAGTCGATTTCTATTCATCATTGAAAAGCACTCGACTCAGAGGATATCAGTGTGTACGAGCGACCTCTCTTGGGAAACGATACATTTTGTTCTCCTTAGAACCCCTATCAATTCATTTCTCTCAATTTCCTCATTCAAAATCTCATCGTTCAATAGATATTTGAATTTATCTACATACTAGTATCTTTTCCGATGGCTTCCAGATATTTTTTTCGTACCTTTCGCCGCTTACGATTATTTTCGTCTTCTCATCTTCCAGTATCATTTCGAAATAATCGACTTCTTTGGGCTTCATTGGGTACTGCTACCGTACTCGGTACAACAATTTATAAATTCGCACCATTTGAACAAATAACTCCTTCATTTATTGTTTATGCAAAGGAGACTGAAAAAGATTTATCACATAATGGTATGAAATAATTCTTTTTTTCTTCGTCATAGACATATTTTACTCATTCATAGAGAAACAATTATTTCAAGCTGCTCATGATGGTCAACTGCAAGCTCTTCAACAGTAAATAAATTGTCTATTTATAAATATAAACTAACCCGATTCTCATAGATTAATTGAACAAGATAAACTTGATGTTAATCTTCGGCATCCACTTGGATGGACACCTCTTCTCGTCGCTGTTATCAATGATAGAATTGATTGTGTAAAATATTTACTTTCAAAAGGTGCTGATCCAAATCAATCTGATGAGTTCACAAATGTACAATCCATGGCAAAAAAAAATCATTGGAATCCTGTAAATGGTAAACAATAAGAAAACATTGACTACAAAACGAAATTTTAAAAATAAATTTCTTAAAAAATTTAGTTTATACAAAACGTGAAGAAGAATTTTGTAACCGACTTTCAGCTCGTGCAACATTCAATGGTTTTACAGCACTTCATTATGCTGTACTCAATGACAATATATCTATAATAAATATTTTGATTGAATACGGTGCTGATCCGTTGATTGAAAATGAACAAGGACATTTACCTTCTGCTTATGCATTACAACAACGTAAAGAATTATTAAGTCAATATGAGCAGAATGTTTGTTTTCTTTTTTCAAAAAAGAACAAACTTTCTAGAAACGATATTGTTTTTCTAGGCGAAAAAATTACATGAAGAAAGAATGAAAGGTGAACGACGACGAAGACCACTTGAACTTAGAATTAAAGAAAATATTGTTGGACAAAACTATGCTATATCAACAGTTTGTGCTGGTTAGTAAATCTACAAATGAATAATACACTATAAACATGTATCTTTCTTTTCATTCATTTCATCTAGCTATACGGAGAAAACAATCTGGTTGGACTAGTGATGAATCACCATTAGTATTTCTTTTTCTTGGTTCATCCGGTGTTGGTAAAACTGAATTAGCAAAACAAATAGCTAAATATCTGAATGGTGAAAAAAATCAACCACGTTGCTTTATACGTATTGATATGAGTGAATATCAAGAAAAACATGAAGTATCGAAATTGATTGGTGCACCACCTGGATATGAAAGTTTGATTAGCGGGAAAATTGGATTTAAGATTAAATTTTCGTTTTACGTTTTTCTAGATTGGATATCAAGAAGGTGGCCAGTTAACGGATGCATTAAAAAAATGTCCAACAGCTGTTGTACTGTTCGATGAAGTTGATAAAGCACATCCAGATGTTTTAACAGTTATGTTACAATTATTTGATGAAGTAAGTTGAAAAACAACAAGAATCGAAAAAATACGAATTTCTCCTTTACTGAATTTAGGGACGTTTAACCGATGGAAAAGGAAAAACCATTGATGGGCGACAAGCAATTTATGTGATGACATCGAATCTAGCCAGTGAAGAAATCGCTAATTATGCACAAGATTTGAGGCGGGAAGAAGAAAAGAAGCCACCTTTAGTTAATGGAGGAGCAACATCAGGTAGATTTATTGATAGGAGTCAAAAAAAAGCGCTAGACTTACTAATTTAAAGTAACGACAATAGTTGACAGTCTTCAAGAAAACTCTAGTCAAACTGTATGCACATTTTTCAAATGAACAGAAAATTATCATAATTCATTTTTTATATTGAATGCTTTGTTTCAACTAGAGATTTACCGAATTTAATATTTGATACCATATTGAAGCATTTTATAAGATAGTCGGATGTTCGGATATCTCTCGGAATAAGTAGACAATCATAAAACAAACTACGATTCCGTTGTTAAAACTCATTATATTTTTATATAACACTGACATTTTATCGAATGTCTGCAGATCTTCAGATTTGTTTTCGTTACGTATTAATTTACCGCAGACAAGCCTGAAAGTCTTGACCTGACTTAATTTTGCTTACATTTATCAATTAAGTGAATGATAACTGCGTTCAAGAGCTTTTTGTTTCGATACAGTTCTACCTTGAGCGAACTAATCAGAGAAACGGCCAATTTTTGTGATAGTTTCGTCGTCATGTAAAATATGTTTATTCCATTTTGAAATATTTCGATCAGTCTCAAGTAAAAATTCTTAAGGATGATTTTGAACTGAAATTTGAGAATAATAATTTTTTATTGCTTCTATCACGCATCGAATGTTCTCCTCCTTAAATATCAAATTGATAATAAGTACGCATAGTTTTTATACGGTTGACTAATATCTAATGTATCAACAAGTAAATACATATTTCAGCTGAAAATTTTATTGTGAAATAAAATTCGTAGAACTTTTGAATAAGACGATTTTCGTTCAGGAAAAAAAAGAATCATCCTATAATTTCGGAAGTTATATTTTTGTATTTCTGTGACTCGAATTTAGATGACACTGCTAATCAACAACAAGATGATGATGGGAAAAGTCGAATAACTGTATCAAAACAATTTAAAGATAAAGTGGTTAAACCAATATTAAAAGTAAATATTTGTTGGATTCAATGAGTATTATAAAATAATTCTTCTCTAGAAACATTTTCGTCGTGATGAATTTCTCGGCCGAATTAATGAAATGGTTTATTTTTTACCATTTTCTAAAAGTGAAATAAATAAATTACTTCTCAAAGAACTTGAATTTTGGAAAAACCGAGTACGTTTCTTTTTTATTAATCCAATAAAAGCGCAATAAAATAAAACTCTATCTGTTTTATATTCTAGGCTATAGATCAGCATAATATTGATATTATTTGGGATCGTAAAGCTCTCGATTGTTTAGCCGATGGTTATGATATTAATTATGGAGCTCGATCACTTAAACACGAGGTTAGTTTATTTCGTTTCATTGTTTGAAAGAGAAAAAAGAACTATAAATTTATTTTTCATATAGATTGAACGATCTGTTGTAAATCAACTAGCTGCTGCTCATGAGCAAGGTTTAATTGAAAGTGGTAATCAAATTTTACTGACAGCTCAAGAAAATATTTTTCATACTCCTTTTGCAAATGGAACTAAACATGAATCAGTTACTCGATCAGTGAAACTACAAAAAGTAGAAACAATAGGTGGACGAAGTTTAATTAGTGGCTTTTTCAACAGTGGCAACAATAATAGTCAAACAGCGAATGTGATCTATACTGATATTAAACCCGAAGATCATCTAAAAACATATCAATTTTAGAAATAAACGATGTAATTTTATTTGTTTTTTGTTTGAATAAAGAATAAACTTAGAAAAAAACAAATCACTCATGTTTTTCTTTGTAATTAAATATCATGCTTGCAGATGATTTTGTACGAACAAAATAACGGATTATCATCGAATCTTTCATTTACATTTGATTTTGGTAAAAATCTTTCCAATCTTGATTGCCATTCAATAGCACTTAATGGCGATGAAAAATATCTTTTGCTTGTTGGCAATCATGAACTGAAACTAATTAATTTTGAAAGATTTTTTGCATCGACTGTTAATACAACCAGCGATGATAACTCAAGTACAACACCGTCTTCATCTTATATTGAATCAGTACCTTTATTTGATATATGCAATATTAATCGACCTATTGTCCAATGGAATCGTCAAAATCCAAATCAATATGCTCTTGCTGTTGATCGTCTCGTTCGTTTCTACAATGTTGATCATGGACGTATACAAGAAACTAGTACAATCATCGATACGCACCATCAGGTAGATAGACAAAAAAAGACCAGTGCGTTAGCCGGGAGTCGAACCCGGGTCGGCTGCTTGGAAGGCAACCATGCTAACCGTTACACCACCAACGCGGCAATCGAATACGTTTTTTTTTCTCTTTTCTATCTAATATTTCAGGAAAACATAGTAAAGCGTGTTCCTATTTTGTTTATCAAACTATTTTGCGTATTCGTATTTTTTAGCGTCCTATATCGACGATCTCATATTGGCCTTATGATCCTTACTGTTTATTAACCGGTTCACTTGATGGCCAAGTACAAATATGGGATATTCGAAATTTTTCACCAAAAACACCAGCCAATTTAAGATCAACACTGTCAACACCATTTAGTATTCGCCATATAAAATGGTCATCAATGGATTCTGATAAAACAAATACATCCAATGATTCTAATCTATTAGCTGTGCAATGCGATCGATGTGTACGTGTATATGATATGCGTCAAACAAATTCATATCTATGTTCAATTGAACATAACCAACGTATTTTGAATATCGATTGGACAATGCAAAATCATGCGATTGCTACGCTTTCCATCGATAATTCATTACGAATATTTTCTACAAGTGGACATTTGTTAGCTGAATCTATACCTAATGAACAGTTACCTTTTTCATTAAACACAGTAATTATAATAATAACAATAAGATAAAAAATATGAACAATAGTAAATTAATACTTTTTTTTAGATTCGAGCAACATCTTTTGATAATCTATTTATTTGTGTATCTTGCGACACAATATCATCAACGTTTGGTTTTACTGGTTGGCGTTGCGATGAAGATCATTATTTAAGACCATTGACTGATCATATATTCTCAACAAGTTCATCGTCTATTATTGATTTTACTGTGGTAACAAGTTCACAATTTTCAACTTTATTTAATCAAATATTTTCATCGCGTCCAAATGATGAATTAATAAAACATTTTCCGATTTTAGCTTGGTGTCGTGATGATCAATTACGCTTAATTGATATGGATCCAACATTCCGAAAAGTTTGGCATGATCATAAACGCACAATACAAAGAGAGCAAGCTGATTTATTAAATATAAATATGATGTCCAAATCATTACCGCCATCATCATCGTCATCATCGTATTTGTCTCGACAAAAACAACAATTAAATCGAACAACTACAAGTAAAATGAGAATGGATAGTATTGAAGACGAAATCACTGATGTTGGAGACAGTGACTTAGATGATAATGCAGTTTCTGATACATGCTCACCTCGATTTAGTGCAATTGATCTACTTGATAATGATGATGACAATGATGATGAACATGATTTATCCTTTGTGTAAGTCTCATATTGAATCTAATTGAAAATAGTTTATCAAATGCTTATTTTGGAAATTTCAAGATAGAAAACAGACTCGAATTCTTTAATAGTATATCAATAGAATGATGAAACCAAAAAGTCATCTACGATTACTCATGAAATCGAACCTGTTTGAAATAATTTTCAATCATTTGTTGTCTTCATACCTATTGAAATGCATCATCATATTGTACAAATCTAGTACGATATCATACCTTTTCAGATCGGTCTGGTTGATAAATATTCATAGATTATTAATTTAATTAGAAGAGTCAAATATACTCTTTGTGAGAGTTCATAAATCTTCTCCTCAATTTTATTTTATATTTTAGTCATACCAGCGATTATAGATTATGAACTACGTAAGTGAATCATGCCTGTATATTTATCCGAGTTTCATGTCACTCGAGTAAAACTCATTCATAATACGGTTACATAGGAAAACCTGCGTCATATATCGCCAATCGGTCAAATAGATCAATCCTATATATGATTTTATTTCAGTAATAAAACTAATTGTTTGAAAATGTATGTCTAACTCTCGATATTTTGTGAAGTACTAATGCAATAAAATATTGAAAGTATGAAAATTTTGGATTTTTCACAAATAATACTGTTATAAAATCAAATATAGTATACGAATCACTTCCTCATATGATGTCTAAAGGTTCGAATCAATGTATGATGAATAGATGTGTGTCAAAATACATAAAACAATATAAAATTCTTGTGCTTATAAACAGCCGCTACATATCTTTATTTGATATTTTCATCCTGCATAGATTGCACTAACAGCTTTTATATTTGCTTCTCACATTATTGTATATGATATATAAACCATGATAATTTCAGAATTTACTATATGAAACGTTTTTTTCTCTTTCTTTCTAGTCCCAACGGCCTAGATAAAACTACAACAGAAGTATCTATTCAAAATGAATTAAACTCCTTGCAGGATACATATGGACCACATATAATTGTTGAAGTAAAAGATGAACACCATCGAATGTGTATACTCCGTTGTATTTATCCAATTGATGCCACCGGATCATTTCGTATATATTTATTTCTATCACGTCATTATCCAATAGTATCTCAATTATTCATACGCTTTAAATTATTAACATATAATAAGAATAAGAATAAGAATAAGTATAATCATGAAAATTTAAGATCTTTCCAAAAACGCATTCAAAAACTATTCGATGAAACATCATATAAATGTTTTTATTATGGACAATTATGTTTACATACATGTTTATTAAAATTAAAACATTTATTTGATTCATATTACAAACAGGAAAAATTATCTTTTAATATAATGACCATGAGATCAAATAAAAAACAACCCGCTGAATCAATTCATAGTTTATATTTTGATTCATTCAATGGCGTTAATAATAATGATATTAGTAATAATAACAGCAACAATCATAATAGAAAAAATTCAAATCGAACATTTGAACCATCGTCATTATCGTCAATATATACAAGTGGTAGTCAAATATCGAATGGGCCATCCATTCGAGCTAATCCACGTACATGTGGTGCTCGTTTTACTGGTGGAACATACTTGATATGTTTTGGTCGCACATCAAATCTTCAACAACAACAACAACAACAACAACAACAACAACAACAACAACAACAACAACAACAACAACAACAGCAACAACAGCAGCAGCAGCAGCAGCAGCAACCAACGTCTGCACCACCACTTCTGAATAGTATTAATGATGTGTTTAGCAATCTAGCACCACCAATACATATGAGATCAATGAGTTTAACAGTAACTAAAAGTCGAGGAAATTCGAGCACAGATGAACAATCATCAAGGTATATTGGTACATTTATTTCTTTGTTTTTAATGATACTATTTTTTTTTCTTCTGTTTGTTTCAGTTATCGATCATCAACAACACTAACGAATACAGTACAAATTCAGAATCTTTCAAGCAATCAACGAACAGCAATATTTTCGGCTCCTGTACGTTTATCGTTAGGTTCAAGTATAGTAAGTGAACATCAACGTATACCAGCATCAACAACGCCATATCGTCGACCTCTTAGTCATCATATATCACAGCTTCATTCAACAGTATCAATTTATGATATGTCAATACTTTTACCTATTAGTAAAAAATTAGCTGATGATTATAAACTTGACTTAAATAATCTAGCCGATATGTGTGAAATCAATGAACAATTAACAGAAAATATGGCTAAAGATGAGCTAACTCATTGTTGGCGTCTACTCGGTACTTTATTATCTTTACAGCCAAGTTTACCAAATGATCACTCTTGGTTTCAATCACCCATTGCTCAAGGTTGACGAAAATTGATCTTATTTAAAAACTAAAACTTTTTGTATTTGTATTTAAATTCGTTTTTATTTTTGTTCTTTTAGGTTTAATTAAACATTTAGTTTCCCATTATGCTACAGATGGTGATATTCAATCGGCAAGTATGATTCTATTAGCCATGTTAGAAACACCCTTTATGAAGACACAAGCTCGATTAAAATTTTTCAATGAACATCAGTATGATCCAATTTTATATGCATATGCAAATTTATTACATCGCTGGAAACACTTTTATAAACGAACACAAATATTACATCAAATTGATCATAATTGTCAAACGCCAGCAATAATAAATCAAATATCATCGACAATTATTTGTTCAATTTGTTTACAACCAGTTATTGGTCAGCATCTTCTATGTGCAATATGTGCACATGGTGGACATTTAAGTCATATACATGGATGGTTTTCATCGTCAGACATTAAGCATCGATATTGCCCAGAAAAAGATTGTGCGTGTAGATGTGTTTTGAAACAGCAAGAATTATTAAGCATAAATACAGATTATATACAAAGATATCAACATACGCCTACATTAACGCCGAGACCTTTCAGCGTTCGTTCAACATCAACCAGTGTGCGTCCTTTTTGAAGTTTTTTTTTCTATCAATCTACATTTATATTGATATTTTCAAGAATAAAAGAAAATCGTATGCAAAGCATAGGTTTGCATAGAATGATTACTTTACATGGTTTAAAATAAAATGCACAGATCATCGTGAAATTATTAAGATCTATCAATAAAGAACATGTTATTGTTACTTAAATAATGGCGAATTGGTGTTAATGATAAATATATTATAGAGGTTAATTGTCTAAGTCCTTGCTGTAATCAAATGTCGATTTTTTGAGTCAAATGCTGAGAGATTACACTGAAACTATCAATTCTAAATACGAGGGATTTCGGAACATATTGACTGAAAGAAGAATGAAGAGAACACTTACCTATAACATATTCTTCTTCATGCATGATGTCGATTTTATTTGAGCAGATAAATCAGAATGCAGTTTTAAACAGATTTCTCCTATTCAAATATCTACTTTGTTATGCAAAATTTCATGTGTTCATTCAAATACTTTTTTTGCATGATAATGAATAGGCTTTATCTAAAGTGCATATACCGTAGTTTTACATATTATGAAAAACTTGAATCGACAATGGCCTATCGAACCGGTGAAAAAATCAGATTGCCTATGAACGATGAGACATCCAACTATATTTATATCCCTTAGTCTCAACTTTGATATTTTTTTATATAGATTATTTGCGTAAGAAGGAGAAGAGAACGCTTAAAAAATTGTGAAGTAAAATTCTATCGTTAATTAACGTCGAATATTTTATCTATCTGAATTCATTGACATTAATCTTCATCAATGCAAATATTCAAAATTGAAATTTTAAAACAGAAAATAGATTCATAAGATTGATATAGTTATATCTTATGGATCTATTGCTTCAATTTCAAAATACAATTAAAACAAGTTGTGATGTAACCGAGATCAGTATTTACTTTCATTCATTTTCATTTGTTAAATATTTGATATACTAGCTGCTGGAAGTAGTACCTTGCCATTGTATATTTATTCTACAAATAGAAGTGTAACAATCTGTATTACGAATAGTCGAAAGTACATATCCTTAAAGTTATGCATGCACAGCAACAATCAATGCCTTACATGTATTATACATCTCCTTATAGCATTCCTGCTTATGGAACCATATCATCGTCTCAAGTCGTTATATCGGATGTAAATTGGCGTAATTCATGGTCGAATATTAGATCATTTGTTATTTCGGTTGTGCTACTGTTTTGCAGTACAGCAATCATTGGTCTTGATATAGCTAATGTAGCAATTGAAGTCAATAAACAAAATGGAAATTCTAAATTAGGATCAGGAACAGCAACTGTTGGTGCAGGTATTTGGGGTGGATCTGTATCATTTATGGCTGCTATTTTTATTTTTATAACAAGTAAGTAGAAGTTTATGATTAAATGAAATATCATTATTGAAAACTTGTGTTGTCGACTGTTTTTAAACGCAAAGAAAATCTCAGTTTAATTTCTTTATTTTCTATTTCAATCATATCTGTTTTTAAATTTTCAGTCTTCTATCTTTTCTTCTTTTAGTATTTGCACGAAACAAACGCGTTGCTGCTACATTTGCCTTATTAGCAGTAGTCTTGGCTTTCTTTTTCACTATTGTACTTATTGGTTTAATTGGCAATTCTATACAAACTAATCTATCAGAAACTCAACGTACCAATGCAGAAAAAGTACAAGACAAACTTGCAATTGCCATACTTTCCTTTGCTGTACCCACCATGATAGCTTGTATGGTATTCTTTGCTGTGTATATCACAGTTCTATTTTCATCATCTACAAGTCAATCAAACATACGTTGATAACAAATAATATTTGATAGACCTGTTGTTAATTTCATCATATTCTTATTATATATACATCACAATAAATGTAGTTTTTATCTAATGAAATATTTGTTTTTCTTCTTCTGTATGATGCGCATTTTGAATATGAAAATACAAAATATTTACAATATATAAACATCCATGCTTATAAATATTTTTGTACTCTCGTATCTTATTAAAAGTCAAACATTGATTCTACTTGTAGTGCAAGTGTGGGAAAAACAAGAGACTAATATTAATGAAATTTGAGTCATATAAAACGAACAAGTAGTTATCATCATAATTTACGTTTTTTTGTTTTAATTGACTTTTACCATTTCAAGTATTATTTAATAAGATACTGAAGGCTAAGAAAAATCATACTAAGCTCGTTTGCAGTTTTACTCATTGAAAAATCTCAGTATTAATCTGATTTTAATATGAGCTTTTTCTCATCGTTGGCCATCGTCACATGAACGATAGATTATTAATATGAAATAATGTCTCGAAAAGAAAAACGCAAAATTTCACGAAAAACTTATTCATAGAAAAAATAATCAGCTTCTATATACTTCTCTATTCAGATTAATTTTTATTGTAAAAAAGACTTTTAATAGCTATATTTTCATATCGAAATCGACACTCATATTACTACAAAGATGCCCATATTTAAATCAGTTGGTTTCTGTTTTTCAATATTCTGATTTCATCTATCATTACGTATTAAACATCGACTAATCCACCTCTCCGAGTCACTTTTATAGTTCTTCATATTCATTTGTATGCGCCATTCATTCAATCTCTCTTAATCTACATTTAACTGCTTTCTAATTGCAGTTAAAATGTTTTTAGAAATCGACATTGATATCGAATTTATGTTTTATCTTTGAATAATTACATTGTTTTGTGCTTTAAATCAATGCACTCATTTGGTATCCTCTTAAACCTAAATCAAACGTTATACATGACGTACTTTTTCAAAAATTCCAACTTCTGAAATTTACATGACAACTCGTGTCTTCACAGTAAAATTATTCAAATGAATGAAAAGATTTTCTAACACACTTTCGGCAATGAATCAGTCTTTTTTCTTCATTAGACGGTAACAATGAAGTCTTGAAAACAAATTCACGGTTTATACTACTTGTATGAAATATGTTGAGACAATTAGAGCATAACAAAAGAAAAGCATTATTTTATGGATGGTATAAAACAAATACTGTGCTTATTAAGATTTCAGTGCAATGTGAGAAAAACTCTTGACGGCGATTGAAGAATTTTCGTGATCGATTGAAAAACTGAAACGGTGTGGATTTCCTGGTGAATTAGAATATGGGAGATGCAAAATTACGCATACTATCGGAAACAGTTTGAAAAATTAATCTCCATTTTCATCTACCACACCCTTTGAATTATAAATGAAGAAGACGGAAAATATCTTCGAAGGTAAAAATGTCGAAATACGTGTCGGTGCGGTGTGTTTAGATGCCTGAATACAGTGACTGTGACATTGAACTGAAACTTGCAACCAAACGCAAAAATAATATTTTTATTTTCAGATCAGATACATTCACATTGATCCTATCGATATTTATCTTTGTTTTGATCTCTTTTAATCTACAACTCTTATTTAATAAATGGAGATTTTCGAATAGATTATACAAGCATGGAGAGAACCTTCTCATGTGAAGATATCCCAAACGATGATTCGACTTTCGGCAAGTGTTTAAAAGAAATATTTTTCTATATCTTTATGGAAGCAACTTTCGTTCATTCTAACAAGGAAACGATCAAGTCTTGATGATGATTTATTCTCTTCCTATGCTGAAAGCAACATTTGCGTAGAATCGTCTCATGGTTTGTTATTTTATAGTATACAAACTTTGAAGACGTTTACAAGGTAAAAGTTTATTGCTATTCGAACAGTACCTTTTATTTAACAGCTAATGACATCTGTCACCGATCTCATGTCTGGTCTAGCATTAAAACAGAACCAATGAATGATAAGAATGCCGCCGATAGGGTAGGATTCCGCCTATAAATAAACAATCTGACTATCTATATTTTTTGACGGCACAGCATTATTTCTGAGTGAAGATATGTAGGCGTAATTTCAAAAAGTACTGAATATTATAATGCAAAATAATAACTGTTTGATTCCGTCGAATAAAAAAGCAAGCCTTTAAAGTAATTTTAGTATGTAACTATTAAACTTATTCTAAAATACAATGGAAAAAAATGAATATGCCCTCGATTATATTCTTCAAGCAGAATAGTAAGAATAGAATATTTTAAAAAGATCAAATGAAATTGTTAAATTCTTTTAGTAATCTGCTTCGAAAACAATTTATACCTGGCATAATTGTCATTCCATCTGGAAAATCAAATCTAAGTAAAATTCTTTTTTTTTATTAATCGATATATTGGTTAAAGCAATCGATTATTTCTAGTATGGAATGGTGTTCATTTTATATCTCAAGGTCCTTATGAAGGTGGCGTTTTTCGTTTTTCAATTCTAATACCCAATACATTTCCTGATGGCGATTGTCCAGTTTGTATTTCCATAGGAGTTGACACTGTTTTTCTCTAGTAAAAAAAATTTCGTTTTAGCAAGTATACTTTTCACCATCTGTATATCATCCTCAAATAAATGCACAAACAGGTGAACTTGACATTAAACGCTATTTTCCTGTGTGGAAGTAAGTTAAGACATTAAAAAGAGTTTTGATCACGATGACAACTTATTTACATAGACGTAATGGGCATCATCTTTGGCAAGTACTACGTTATATTCGGCGTATATTTCAAAAAATTGAAATTACGAATGCAATTAATTTGGATGCAGCACAACTGTAAAATTTAGTCAAAATGTGTATCAAACCTTGTCTTTTTAAAATGTTTTTAGATATGAACATGACCCAGGAGCATTTCTCTTAAAAGTATCTGAATGTGTCAATCAATCAAAAGATAATATTTATATTCCCGATTCATTAACTTCTGATGATCCCCATGCTATTGTGTAAGTTGCATTCCCTTATTTAAAAAAAGAAAAGCTTTCATCTATAATGAATAACTATTATCTTGCACAAAGATGTAGTTTCTATATAGAAAATTATAATGCAACTATACTATAAAAATGTAACGAACGGATAATTATTATTAAAAAAAACCTCGTAGATACTTCGTAAAGAAGCAAACGTTATCGTCACTAGTAAAGCAGCTAGTTTGAGTGCATAATTATGCTGAAATTACGTTGGTGTCAGAGCCGAACATGATTTGATTAAAAATAAAAATATTTATCTTTTCTTTATGTTGAAAGCTAAACGTCAAAAAGTAAAAGATATTAAAAGGTCAAAAACGTCGAACTTTGAAATATGTCTAAGGGTGATAAATACCGAAAATTCAACATCGAAGGGTTAAAAATCCTGACAGATCTTATATGGCAGTAATGATAGAGAAGACTTATTGTAATAGGCCTTACAGTGCAACTTATTTCCTTATTTTATCTTGATACTTCGAAAATTTTCCTAGGATTGAAGAATAGGCACTCCTCCATATCAGTGACATAGCATTTTTTGATGATTATCGAGTACAGAACATACTATATATAGACTTCCTCTATTTAATGATACATGTATTAACAGTTTCTATTGCGTACTGTTGATATATCAACAGGCAACGGTACCTTCATCATCATGACTTTGATAGATAGTGCAATAAAGATAGTGCTACTCATTGACCTGAGAGTAGTACTCAATATAATCTAATGAATAAGACGTTTACTACTAATATGCCGGAGAAAAGTTATCTACACTTGTCTACGTAAAATTTGTTCTCTACTGAAAAACTTCTAATTATTTTTTCTTCGTAATGAAGATCGAAAAAAAAACAAATAATCTTATTTTATATCTGCATTAAGAGTTCTCGAAGTGAGTACATTCTCATACACAAGAGTTCAGCATCCATCTAAAAGCATTTTACTCAAAATAAATCTTAATAATGAGAAAAGCTCTTCGTTCTTGGATAGGGGTCCTTTATCTCTACGTCGATTGGTAATATGACTCGCACTGTGTGAACAGCATATTCATGTAAATAACGAGATAAAGCATGGCATTACCTGTATTGGAATATCAAAACAGTCATAGAGCATCAGTTTGTATTGATCATGCTTTCTGTTTTTATGTAAACAATGATTTTGACATACCTGCTTATTCTGAATAATATTACTCAAACGAATTAATGAAGAAAACAAAAATAGATAGGTTAACTTTTACTAAAACTCAGTAAACAATAGAGGTAGTTGAATGATTGAAAGCATTTTCTAGTATTTAATATATTCAATTTAAACTAATAAAAGTTTGTTTTGATTCGAAGGCTTGTGTTTCAGGCACACTTCTCCATTGCTATAGAAAATATTTATTTTTATGTTCTACAAAAATTGCTATTTCCGTAGAATAAATCATTATTTAAGCTAATGAATTATCAATAAAGAAGAAAAACATCGTCAAATAAAATTGAAGGCTAGTTGCACGTAAATTCTTATTATTTACATAAAATAAAACAATGAGAACTTGTTAATTATGAGCCTTTGCGTAAGCTTATCACTTTGACTCAGTCTGTACTGTACTCATATAAGGTTTCATAATCAATCAGTCTTACTGTTATAGTTAAGTCTTTCTAAATGCAAACGTATCGATAATATTGCTCGATATCCACAGACGATCTTTGCGTCGTCCCATATTAGTACCAAATTCCTTTTCAAATTCAAGCAACAATAATCTAAACTTCGGCTTTCTCGATATTTCATTGTTTCTTTTTGAAGTTTATCACTTATAAAAATAAATATTTCTTATAGATTTTCTCCGTGGAATGAAAGATTACAAGCGGTACAACAGCATCTTTTAACCGGAACAAAGGTAACTTGATGTTTAACTAATAGACTTTAAAAATTCGATATAAAATTACTTCGTACCAGAAAACATTTTCTCCTACTGGTACAAATCAAAAAGAGGATAACAGTTTGTGTAAGTGCCTTAATGCATGTGCACGTTCTAATCTGATTTGTCCTTTTTTGAAAAAATGACTAGAAAACATTGTGTTCTCTTTATTTTTTCGCTTGGTTAATGAAAACTTGATAATGCTTCTTGTAATTTAAAATTTTAGTTGACAGTAAGATTCGATTTGATTCTTTACACATAGCATGTTTTTATTTCATTTTTAATAGATTTATGCATTGAAATTTTGTTTTCAATTTTTATTTTAGCAAGCGTTTGATAATATTCAAGGTTTATCATGGATGAAGCCAGGTGTTTATCAAATATTAACACGAGAAGATACTTTAACAAGCCATCAAAATTAACTTTATAACATACAAAATGTTGTTGTCTTGTAGTTTTTTTCTTTTTTGTATCTTTTCTGCATATTTATTAATTCATAGTTGATATAATATCTTATTAGCATATGATTTTTAGATTATGATCGAATTCCCATTTCCATATTTGACTACAGGCACTATTGTTCACGGCTGTGGGCGCGGAAGTAAAGAACTCGGCTGTCCTACAGGTATTTATATAGAAACTAATGAGATATTTAATTAAATGTTTCTGTTTGAATTCTAGCAAATTTAGATGCAAGTTCTATTGAAAATTTACCATCGGAAATTGATGAAGGTGTATATTTTGGATGGGCGCAATTTTTAACAAACAACAACGATGAACTTTATAAACTTGTAGCTAGTGTGGGAACAAATCCATTTTATAAATGTAAAGTGAAGACGCTGGTATGTTAAGAAAATAATTATTTTCATTGTGGTTTTTAATTGAATTCAAGTTTAGGAAGTCCATCTGATGCATAATTTTGAAAGTGATTTTTATGGTGAAAAATTAAAAATTGTTCTTCTCGGTGAAATTCGTAAGATGACTTCGTTTAAAGATGCAAGTAAGAAATGCGCATATTCCTTGTTGGTGAATACAATCGAGTAACGTCACTACTGATTTACAAAAATTTTTGTATCGTTTCGTTCATTCCCTGGCAGAAATCTGCTTAAGTTCGTGTTCAATCAACTAAAGAAATAGTTAAAATTGATTTTGATTATGAAACGTAGAAATTGAAATTATTTTGTTTTAACAGTTTTATGATTGTTTTAGAAATATAAAACTCGAAATCTTTAATAAACTATTTTGTTTTTTGAATATGTAGTTAATTCAGGAGACGCTATACGGTTAAAAATTTGAAAAAATGACTATTTAAGAATTGTAATCATGTGTTTCATTGTTAGGATAATGTTGAAATCGCTAGTCTTCATTTTGTTTTTAGATTTTTTAAATCATTGATTCTGATTCAATATCGTCGTTTCTTGTTTTTTTTCTTTATAAAATCGCATTTAGACGGAAGTTCATAACGGAAGCTACGGTTTTTTATCATTTATTAATGAAGAATTATTTTAATGTAGTTATAACATATTACAAAGACTGCCTATCCGTTGCAGTGCAGCTTTTAGCATAAAAAAGCATGAACTTTATGAGTTCACACGGAAAAAAAATTTCTCATATTACTTACTAAGAATACATAGAACAAAATGGCATAAATGTGTTCTAGGAAATGTTATTTTAATATTTGTAATAAATAAATATTCAAGCACTACTCTGAAAATTAATTTGCCTGCATCAGTTTCAATTCATCTCATAAAAGAAATAATGATCAGTCGGTATAACTAAATACAATATTGAAAAAAAAGAGTTGTTTTTTTCTCCCTTCTTTTGATTAAAAAAAAACACCATTTTCAAAGAGAAAATTTTAGTCAAAAATGATAGAAAAATAATTTACCGTATGTACCAGCTAGCTATTGGTTGAAGATAATATTGTATATTTAAAAAATCGTTGCGATCTTATGTCTTATTATTCTGTATGGAAAGTTTCTAGCGATGGGTAAAAGAAGGTGAAATAGGAAGTAGTAACGCACTAAAGAAGAAAAACAAAGACAAAGTTATTCATCTAAAATAGTCATTATTTCCTTGTTGAGTTTGACAAAGGATTCGTATAGGCATTTCATAATTATATAATTTTATTCATGTAGAAAGATTCAATTGAATTTAAAAAGCGGCTCATAAAGCATAGAAAAATACAAAATGATAAACTGAATGAAAGACAATAATAATAGAAAAAAAGTTGAATTTATTGACACATTTTTCTTGTTCAATCGACATATCATAAGCAACATATAAATCTCAGTGCAAAGAAAAACAACAGGAAATAATGAACGAGAATATAGTTACTGTAACAATTAGTTTTCTTTTCTCCGTTGGTAAGGAATGTTTTCAAGAAATATAGCACCTACTAAAATTGAAATATCTGTCGAACGTAGAACATTTCCTATTCAACATTGAGTTCGGGCATCCGTTTCGGATACAAATAACATGTTAGATTTTCTATAATAATGATGTATATTCGTAGCTGTTTGCCACTATTATTCGCTTAGTTTTCTAGGCCACTATATATTTTTTATTTGTCTAGCTTGAGATGCTCTAAAAGTAAAAGTGGTCGAAGTGAAAAAGTTATTACATTCTAGACTTCTTATTTTTACAAACAATAAAATAACAATTATATGAGTAAAATGCAGCAAAACAAAAGCTAAATTTGCTGTACTAGTTGTTAGACACATTTATCTCTGAGCAAAATAAAAGACAAACATATTTCATAGGTTTTCTAAGCTATTAGCAATATTCTTTGCATTATGTATGCTTAATTTCTAGATGAATTGGCTATGGCTATTCAGAATGATATCGCTAAAGCCCACCATGAACTTGATTCTGATCAATGCCGTCAATATTTAAATCATCCATATTTTAAAAATTAATTTAGATTTTTCTTCTTATCGAATAATAAAACAAATCAAGTGTATGAAAAAAAAAGAAAAAAAAAAGACTAAAACTTTTTTATTCATCTGCGAACTCCATTGATTCGTCGTAACGTGTAGCAGCTGATACTTCACGGTTATCAACGTTGAATATCGGATGACGACCAAATGTAAAATTTTCAACACGTTTGTAAGCTTCAGATCTTTGTAATGGACCAAAGATCATAAAACAAACACCCAATATCGATAAGATTGATAAAACGAAAATAATGAGAAGTGAATTAGAAAATAAATTATTTGTCATTGTTGAAGATGATGAAGTTGATATTTCATATGTACAATTTTCAAGTGTGCTGTTAATTAACGTATTTGCACATAAAATTGATGATGACAAATTATTCGAAAACTGAAAATGGGTGTCATTACGAATTCGTATCAACATTGCGTATAGTAGTATAGATCAATTATATAATACGTAATAGTATAGAAAGCTTCATATACAACTATGAAGTCTTTCTTTTTGGCAATGACGCTTTAAGATTGACTTGAATCAAATTGATCTAATCGTTCTTTTGTTTCATAATTGTTTTACCATTATTATTTTTCTTTCACATACATTTATATACTCATTCAGTCTACAAGAATTGAAATAAGAGAATAGAAAAGAAAAAGAAATAGAAAAACAAAAAAAGAGAACTTGTATTTCTATACTATTTGTTAAAAAACTGTCAGATTAGAGAAAAGAAAAGAAAAGATGATGAATTAGTTTTTTTTTTGTTCAAGTACCTTGAATGTTTTAGATATTTAGATTCTATGTTTCTTTATTTCTCAGTTTCCGAAGAATGCAATCGCAAAACTAGAGAGGTACGGAACGTTAAATATTTATGTTCTAGGTTGCTTTGTTCAAATGGAGCATTTTTAATACGGGTCTTTTGTAAAACGCATAACAATTACACGTAGCTCGATATGTAGATGTATATGCATGTGGATAAATAGACACAAGTAAATAATAAATTGGATACTATGACTGTTTCTCATGAGCTTACACGATAGCAATACTATAGAAAAAAAAACCATATGGCTACATCTGTTTGCTCTAATGTGGGACCAAGCGTATAGACTTACTTTTTTCTTTTCTTTTTCTCTAGTATTCCATGTCAGCGACAAATCCAATATTCCAATCTATAGAGACAAAGAGAGGAAGAGAAAAAGACGGAAACAGTAACGGATTTAGAGGAGGAGCTGGTCGGACACTTGCTCGTCCTTTCAAATTTGGTACACTATTTTTCACAACGAAATCGAGCGAAAAGCGGTGTCACATTTCATCGCATGAATTTCAAGATGCATTTTTTACGCATCATTGTCATTCGATTTTTATTAGCATCTCAAGTTCTCCATTGAACGTACATAGGTACGAAGAATATTACAAAAATAAGATTGGTCATGAAATAGAATTACCGTCACATCAAATACAATGACTAAAACCAATTTCAAACTGGGTGCTTGAAATAAAGCAAAGAAAAATATCATTAGTATTTATATTCTTGCATATACTTTTTCTTCCTGATGTTATGTAAACTACTGAGAGTAAATTAACTAAAAAGTTTTAAAATAAACATACACTAACGCCCTCTGTCAATTGAGATTTTCTCAAAATAGACTACTTTTTTTTAACAGCTAAAATATTTCATCGTTTTCCAATAATTAACATTCACGAAAGAAAAACGCTTGAAATTTTTCTTCAACTTGCAAATTTCAATTTGAAATATTTCTAATTGTTATGTTAAATCATGGAAATAATCCATTTGAGTTTTAGATTGTTTATTTGTTCCAGTATCAATATTGTCAAGTTTAGAAGCGACGTACATGACTGAATCCTCTGATGATATCATTGTTCTTTCTGATGAAGACGAAGAAATAAAAATCGAGTCTATTGCTGATGCAAAAATATCTAAACCTATCAATAAATCTCGTGCATGTGCAACTCGAAAAAATACGTCTTTAAAATCAACTATTCAAAATCGTGCACCCACACTTATTTTAACTGAACCAAAATCAATATCTTATGGCATTGAGCGCGGCTATAAACTAAAACGTATTCTTGGTGTCAAACGTTTAATAACTGAAAAACAATTACTGTACCTTGTTGAATATGAATTATGTGATGATCACGAATTTGTACCATCAAATATTTTGCGTCAATATTGTAATGAAGATATATTAATAGAATATCTTGAAAAATTAGCACAATTTACTGATTAAAAGCAACGATATTTTGTTTATTTTCCAGATAAAATATTCATCTAACATGTCTTCTAACGTATATTCAATGCCATGTTCGATTGATGTTCCATCAACAATTACTAGTGATATCAAAAGACATTTTACAAATTCAATTAAACAAAAAGATAATCATGACAATAAATGTGTAGCATCATTTCGTGGTCGACCATTAGACGGCGAACAACTTAATATACCTGATGATTATATTGGTGTTTTAACAAACTCATCCAAAATTGTTTCATCGTTCGATAAGTTAACATATTTCAATTTGGATTGTTCAACTTCAAAAAATGATTGTTTAGCTCGTAGTATAGCATGGCTTTCATTAGCAAAAATACTTCATGAATAAAAAAAATATATTCTGCTCTTTATGTGAAATAAAATTCTTCTGTTGATCTATTGTAGATTAAAAAGTTGACATCATGGGTGCATATAAATATCTACAAGAAATTTACCGTAAAAAACAAAGTGATGTAATGCGTTTTATTTTCCGTATTCGTACATGGCATTATCGACAACTAGCTGCTATTCATCGTGCACCAAAATCTACACGACCAGAAAAGGCACGACGTGTCGGCTATAAAGCTAAAGCTGGATATGTAAATAGACAAAATATTGTTGATTTATTAATTATCTGTTTTTTTCTGTTAATATGAAATTTAGGTCATCTATCGTGTCCGTGTTCGACGTGGTTCACGAAAGAAGCCAGTACCAAAAGGTCAAGTATATGGTAAACCAAAACATCAAGGTATCAACCAATTGAAATTTCAACGTTCATTACAATCAGTTGCTGAAGAACGTGTTGGACGTCGTTGCCCAACATTACGTGTACTTAACTCATATTGGATTGCACAAGATGCAACATACAAATTCTATGAAGTTGTACTTATTGATCCATGTCACAAAGGTAAATGAATCGAATATATTTGGTGATATTAGAATTGAGTTTCCAATGTTTATGATTAGGTATTCGTAATGATGCACGTATCAACTGGATCTGTAAAGCAAATAAGAAACACCGTGAATTACGTGGTTTAACATCAGCTGGAAGAAAATCTCGTGGACTTGGCCATGGTCATCGTTATTCGCTTGCAACAGGTGGATCACGTCGTACATGCTGGAAACGTCGCCAACAGCTCAGTCTCCGACGATTTCGTTAAAAGACAACAACAATATAAACGACAGCAATGCCATAGAAATTTTGTTTTTCATTTGTTGTTGTTGTTTTGTATTATTCGATCCAAAAATTTAAGAAGAAATTAAAGAAAAAAACGCCCGATAAACGAAAAACGTTTATGAATATTTAATTGAATTATTTTATTTTTGTTGATGTCATTTATTAGCATATTGGATATATGATAAGATCCAATTTTAAATGAACACAAAAATCAGATATGTCTCTACTGACTAGATAAATTAAAAAATTGAAACTTAATCTCTTTGTTAGTCATGAGAAAACATATTATTATTAGAACGATACCCAATGATAGGGTCAAGTCTTACGGATAATAAAAAAAAATCGTACCTGTATTATTTCTAATATAAAATTGAAACTGTTCAATAATAATATTATGATTCATTGGCTCGGTAAAGCATGAGTATTTTTCTTGTTGCTAAAACATTCTTATATTGACGATATATCAAGGAAAAAATGATTATGCTATTGCAAATGAAGCGTTTAGCCATTTATTGTTAGTAATTTATAAGAATGCTTCCATGTCAGTTTATACATCTAAAACTATTCAGTTATAACACCCATTAGAGTCAATTTAACTATTAATCATCGATATTGAAATCAATTTCATCCGCCAATACTTATATAATGATGTACAGAAAAGATTTGAATTATTTCGTTTTTCTTCATTTTAAAAGCAGTGGAAAATTATCATAGGACAATTCAAACTATATAATGTACATAGAAAGTTTTTGATTATTTTGTCTATGGTTTATAAAATTAGTCTAGTAATAAATTTTACTAAGGAAGCATTCTCCTAACATTCAAGTGACTATATTCATGATATAACCAATTTAATTTACGATTGATAACTAAGACAGTTATTCATTGACAGTATAAATTTTGATGATGGCATCGAACAGAAATTCCATACAAAATATTCATCTGGAGATTGTTTTTCTTATTAACATAATCCTCGAGAAACAGCCAATTTTTGTAAAAAAACAGACACATCTTGAGATAAGCATACAGCAGCTCGTCTTATAGCTCTTGGATTTCAACAAGAATAGGTTGCTGAGTAAACAAGAAGTTGTCCCTAGACAACTATACCTATATAAATTTCAGCTACTCAGGATCATGTTTTAAATGAAGCAGTATCCTGCTTAGTCGAACTGATATAAACAGAATATAGTTGATAATTAAAATCTTGAAGTCGACGCGTATTTCTTTTTTTTTTAGAGACGTTCCAACGAAGTACGAGTGATTGTTTGAATCATCGTCTAAATTCTAAGTCAAAATTACGACAGAAGTGAATGATAAAGAAATATTTTCTTTCAAGAAGATCAAGACTCGCAACATAGAATACCAATTGTATCAGGTATTAAAAGAAAAATTACAAGAAGATTTCTGAAGTTTTAGCTTCTAAAAAATGGATTGACCAAAGAATGAATAAAACTTGATTAATGAAATTTCCCATTTATTTGGCTATGGGATAATTAAGGATAGAAACTAAATAAATGATAGTTTAATAATCATGTTGATTCTTGTTGTTAAATTCATGTGGGATCTTACTGTGTTTTAGTTTCGATCATACATATGAAATAATATTAATCGATTTCAGAATTTCAATTATTGGATTTGTTAAATTGATACTAGTTTGAATAAAAGACACAAAAATCACCGAATAGTCTCTAATGCTAAACATCATCTAACATAATTGAAGCTGAAATAAATGTAATTGTCTAAGACTCACTCTTTATTAACATAGAAATTGATTTTTTGATCTATTCTCAGATATTATTGGATAGTTTTTCTAGCCATGATGTCAATGATAAGTTGCTTGAGTTATCTAGTTCGAATGCTAATACGTAAGTTTAACAGCAAATTCTAAGAACAATGGGTTCCATCGTGTAATTATAATTCACGAACATTTAACTGGAGAAGGTTAGACGATAAGCATCAAGAGTCAATGTTGAAGCGGCACTTGATATAATCCTATTGAATATCTATGCCAAAACGTTTCTTCTGGCAAGTACGGAAAGCAAGAATGTTTCGGTTGATCTTGTTTACTCAAAAGATAGCTACATTCTCCTCAGGATTAAGAAAAAAAAAGATTTTCGTAATCTTCATGATTAAACTAATCATTTCTTTTAGATAAATTTACAGAAGACTTTTATATTCGGATTTCTTGAAGTTTCTATAAATGAATTGAAAACTACGATAAGAAAATCTCTTTCATATGCGACTGATATGAATACTATAGGTTGAAGTGTATGCAAAAAAACACTTTTGCCCGTACGACAGCGCTATTTTTCATGAAGGCTACCTGAAAGTCTTCTCAGTATTGAAGATCAAAGTTCGAAATGGTAGGATAACATTGATATATCATACTTTTATGAAAATTGACAGTTCATTTCATTTAATTTATTGATATCATAGTTACTGTTTTGGTTTGATAATAAAATCTTGATAATGTACAAAAATCAATCGGTTATTTTTAACAAATAAAACATTCTTGTTTTTCTTTCATACGCACCGGCATTAATAATATTATAATATTTTTCGTTCATAAATCACTCACTATCTAGCTATTTTCCAAAAAAAAAAACAAAATTGCACAGGATATATATAAAAAAAACTAACAAGAAAAAATATATGGAATGGCATTTGCAAGAAAGAAAAGAATTAATTTCTATATCACATGAAACGAAAAGAGGCATGTCTATTTATTTTAAATGGATATTCGCATTAGTTTGTTGGCGTCCTTTTCAAGTGGATTGATATGTCAATCAATCTGTGATTGATTCGTCACATTATCATTATCTTCTGATGTCGATTGATGACCACGATTTCTTCGCCGAGTACCATATGCACATTTGTTTATGTTTCCACCGGTTTCACTATATTCAAATTGTACAGTAAAATGACGTATGCAATGTGTTGCAAGTATTCGTTGTAATTGACGTCCAAATAAATCTGTACATGTACTTAATAGTAGATCTTCATCGCATACAACATGTAGTGTTGCAAAGACATCTCGAGCTGTTGCTCTAAAAATAAACGAAGAAAATGGCTGCTCGTGTAGACAACAAAAAAACAACAACAACCGCAAGTATAATGCATACCTCCAAACATGAACACTATGTACAGCGCGTATTTGTGGTATTGTTTTCATTATTGTTTGAATTAATTGTCCAGTGTCTATACCCGATGGTACAGCTTCAACAAGAATATGGCCCAGAGACCAAATGACAGGTATAGCTTTAATACCAATGATAACTACCATAACTAATGTTAATGATGGATCAATGTATTGTAACCATAGATTAATGTTTTTACCGCTTTTATCTTCTTGTGGAATAAATTTAATTAATAGGCCAGATAATAATACGATTGAGGATTCAAGAAGAACTGCCTGCATAAAACAAAAATATTGAAAATTAAAGAAGACTATTTTTTTTTGAGTTTTTCTTATGCGACGATTGAACTATAGGGAAATGACGAGTGTTTAAAAGTCTTTTTACTGCATAGCCAGTATTCGCTGCTCAATATAATTGATTTTAATCATAAAAACATCCGGTTCATTCCTGTATTCAAGAGAAACAATGGGTTTTCTTTTCTATTCAAGTTATTGTTACGCATAAGAAGTAATCAATACAAAATTTGTCAGATCCAATAGATTTATTGTGAAGAACCTAAGAATTTCCCTCTATTATTATTATTATTTTTCTATATATATAGATATATATATTTACCAATGAATGTAAACAAAGAGCATGTAAAGTTGCAAAGACACGTGATTTTTGAAATTCATCTTCAAGAACTAAATCATCATGATCAAGAAAAGATGTTGATGATATTATCGAGTCACCGCTTCTACTTCTCGTTCGTTTAAATTCAACAGATACACGGCCAGGTACACGCAATTGTTTCTCACCAGCATCAGTAATATGCTCTTCTGTAAATGAAGAAGCTATGTCGGAAGCAATAAATGCATTTTGATAGGTATCATTTAACGATGACAGAATTAAATTTGGTTTTGGTTGAATTTTTTGTTCGATATTATTATTATTATTGTTGTTATTATAGATATTTGATGGTGATTCGGTAACAATTAATTCAGGAATAACAATAGGTTGTGAATTTGATACACTTGTTTGTCGCATGAATGGATCTTGTGTAGTTTCATTACTCGCATCAAGGCTACGTAAAGTTGTATAAACACTACGAACAAAATCGTTTTTCTTTTGTTTAACGATTTCATGTCCTATGTTATGATCATGATCGAAACCACGAAATAAAACTAGTCCCAATAAACCGATGAATACGCCAACTGAACCTAAACGAATCATGACTACTGCATCTTTGATATGATTTGGATTAATTAATTTATTAACAGCATCGACTATAATAGAAAGTGATAGTGATACAAGTAGAACTTCTTGTAATAGACCAGCAAGTATTTCTAATCGTGCCCATCTTGATAAAAAGAAAGAAAAAAAGAAATAACAATATCTAAATAAATTATTCTACAGTGAGCGTGTTTATACCCAAAAGTATTTTTCGAGTGTAGACGTTCAGCTTTAGCATAACGTAATGCAATTAATGAGCCAACTAATGCAATGCCTTCAGCAAATGAAAAAAGTCCATCGGCAATAAGCAATTGGGATCGAACACGAATTCCATATATTACTTCAGTTATTGCTATGCCAACAGTTAATATAAGCATAATTACCATTCGACCTGTTTTTGATTTTAACATTCGAAGACACCAGTGTAAACGATGCCATGCCATCATCAACTTGTAATTTGTTTTTAATGTTGGTCTTTTTCTTGTTGTAGTTACTTACTTACAAACGAATAAAAACAAAAATCATCGTCTCTTTTGGTAATACAGACTAGACAAAAATATTGCGAACAGAACAGTTATGTTCATTACTCTGGAATTTTAACGATATATGAATTTATAATTAAAAAGAACTTAAATGCACATAAATAGAACAATCCTGCTGGGCACTATATATAGTCATGGCTTATTCCACAGAAAAAAGCATCATTGGAAAAAATAGTAATCTATGCGAACTACCAACCAGATGAAAAGATTATTTATTTTCATAGTGATATGAAGTACAATAAATGAATTCATCAACATTAATTACTTATTTTTGCTATGTTAGAAATGATACAGTTAACAGTGAGATAAAGCAAATGTGAAACGGACCGATAAATATTTAAATAGACTAGAACGATGTTTACCCTATCTATATGATGAAATCATATAGCAAGTAATCATTTTAATGGAATAGTATTTACACATTCATTTTCATCTAAAATTGTAGTTATTAGAAAAGAATATTTTTTGTCATATTTTTGTGGGTTCATCATTTGAAGTGTAAATAGTGCGATAAAGAATCGAGTGCTTTCATGATGTGAGCATAAGTAATTATTTTGCCTAGGCAGACCAGAGAATTCTCACGTCGTGCTAAGAATAGAAAATGTTGGGAAAATTTAAAGTGCATATCTCTCTTTTTAACGAATGCTACTGATAAAAAAAATGTACCTAGTATATGGTAACTGAAAAACTAAATACATGATTAGCTTACTGATATAGTTTCTAAGTAAATACTTGATTAATAAGTAAAAAAATCAATTCAAAAGTGATTCTATTAGAGAATGAATGGCTAATTTTGTTTTACTAGAAGTACTTTTTTTTATCTTATGAATTGCAATCAAATAACCGTAAATTCTACTTAGAATTTCTATGATAGATGGTCGAAAAAAACCAACAAACCTTGAAATATAAAGAAGATCTAATATATATTTATATATATATGCATATCTTAAAATTAAAACTGAATATTTTATGAAGTCTACTATTTACATTTAATTATAATAAATTATTATTAACTATTTGAACTATTCAATATATTATTCTATTGAACAATTTCTGTGCTGTGCTGTGATATGAAAAAAATGGACGGAATGGAAAGGAGAAAATTATTTTTACTATCGCACGTTTTTGCTCGTTTGACGTCTAATGTCGATGCGTTGAAAATCTTCGCTTTTGCTTTCTCGACGCCATTCAATCATCGATGCTAATATACGAATTATGTTGCAGCTTTTCTGCTTTTGCGCGATCTCTACCACTCTATTTCAGCGTGTGCTTCTATGCATTTTTATTCTGCTTGATGCTATCGATTGACTGTGGTGTTTTCATTCGCCATCCAGTCATCGATGTATACGAATTAATCTATCTCTTTTCTCTACGCTATTTCTTACTGTATAACGCACCCGGAAATGCAATGACTTGTCCATCCGACCGTCTATTTAATATATAATCAAATTGAACGAAAAAAAAACGATTAAACCACTTTTTGCTATGCTTGCCATTATCACTTATTCACTTTAGTATAACTTTTTCCTTCTCATTGATAATATGTGATGCATTTAATGTCATTCAAAACAATCATCACGCACAAAAATGAAATGAAACAAACATATCTCTTAAAAATTGCTTGTAGGATAATGCCAGCAATAGTTGTGTTCCATTTTCGAATATGCATTATTCTCTCAACTATATTATCGATAAGGATATATAATTTTTTATTGGTTATACTTTATCATGATAAATTTGTCTTCGAAAAGAGAGCAAGTATTTTATCTTCTGGAAAGAAAAACAAAATAAGTTGAAGGATCAGGGAATATCCGGTTTGTTTTTGTTAGTAAGATAAACACATACGAGAAATAGTAAACAAAAAAAAACATCAAGAAAAAAACTACTCGTTAAAATAAAACGAGAAAAATATTTTTTCTCTAAATATTATTTGTACTGGCTGATTCCATTGAAAAAAAATTATTTGAGAATGATATAATTTACACTTTAAACAGGGGCAGTAACACGGTTAATTATAATATGGTAGTAACAGTCAAAGATCCTCATCGAATATGCATATGCAATAGAAATACGATCATAAAAATATCTTCGTTTTTGTTACTTACTTTTCTAGACGAGAGAAAGTGTACATCCAATAATAGAATAAGTTTCAAGTAATGATAGTTTCTCGAGCTTTATTTTAAAATATTTCTCTTAAATATAGTAAATGTAAAGTATCTTTAAAATGAAGAGAAACAGAAAGGAAGAATTATGCTCGAAAAAAATCGACCTTGAAAAAGACTTGTTTTTTCCGTTGCACTACAATGCTGGTAGGTTCGTTTTTAAATATTTTTTGTTTCATCCCTTATTCTTTCTGCTTTTGCCATGCATTAAAAATTAACAATATATTGGCATACTTGTTACATCTACCTGATACACAGTAGATGTAAAGAAGTGAATAGATGACTTGATTGCATCAAATACTGCCATTGAAAGTTATTTTCTATAACCAATCTAACCAGGGGCGGCGCAGCGTCATTAACCTAGGTGAGGCTCATAATGTTTTTTTTTCTACCGTGGAATTTTATGAAAGCATCAAGTAGAAAATAAATCTTTTTTTCTATTGAACTTCAGTAAAAATAAAAATGTTCAGTATAAGACAAATGATTGGAAAATACCAAAAAGACTTTTCTTTGTTCCTGCTTTGATGCAAAAATAAAAACTAACAATATTCAGTACCAAAGCAAGCTAGGCTGAGCCTCATCTTGTGAAATCTAGGCGAGGCTCAAGTCTCATGGATCTCAATGGCGACGGAGCCACTGAGTCTAACATGAACAAGTGTAAGAGCACGAAGAGTATGTGAGCGTTTATTTTATTAGAACTCAGCTAATATATATGACTTATTATTATTATTATTATTATTATTATTAGTGTATAGTTGTAGTTAATTAGTTTCATTGAAAACGTATACATAATAAAAGATAAGATGTAATAGATATTTTTTGAATTTTAACATTATTGCAGTCGAATTAATATTCTCGTCATGAATATATCGACATACTTATATTTGAATGTACGTGAACGAATTTGTTTTTCTTTCTAAATATGTACATTCATTTAAAAACATCAATGCAAATTTTCTTGTGAATACTTGCATATTTCATAGATTCTAATCTTTTCATTTACGCTATAGATTTATTGCACTCAATAATACAGTGAAAACATGATTTCTCAAGAGATTCATATTTGCACAGTCATTAAAAGTCACTAATATATACTTATGCATAAGTTTTGTTTTCTTATGAAATCTGCTAGAAAATATAATGATCGATATTGTTTACCGGAAATGACATATATGTACATAACAGAAAAAGATTTATCATAATTATCCATCATTTTTCTTAACATTTCTTATTTTTCATCAATGAAAAATTATATTATGAACAGAACTAATTATTTCATATAAATGACAAAATTCCTATGCATGTCATTCTTCATATATTATTCTACAAAAAAATCACATGCTTTATTTTTCTCATAATTAAATTTGCTTTTCATGAATATTTATTTGAAAAATAAAAAGCAGTTACTTTTAGCAGAAAATATTAGGCTTTATGATGTTTTCATTTGATCAATAGTTAAAGTAATATTATCAAAATGACATTTAATATAATCTTCAGGTGTTTCAACACCGAAATCGATTTGAATACGTCTCGTATGTGCTCGTAAAAGATGTCGAGGTCCACCGTATGGACCCATTGATTTCTCATTGTATGGTTCTATAACTTTTTCAATTTCTAAAATATAGACGAAAATAAAAGTATGAATTTAAAAACTACAAGACTTCTTTCTGTTTTACTTCGATAAATTATTGATTCGTGTAAAATATTATCAGAACGATACATATGAATTTGAAAATAAGATTTATCACAACTAGCAAAACTCATAAAAGAAATTGCAGCATTATGTGTATCAATCAGTATCGAATATGAAGATAGAAGGATATCTTGATAAACACGTGTTTTACCTAAAATAACAAATGAACAGTTGCCCCAATTAGTTGCGTTCATTGTTTCATTTTCATTAGTTATATTTTCAAATTTTTCAGCCGACAACATGGTATTAGGATCAATTGTTATCCATGTTGTTTGTTCATTAAGAAAACACTATTTAGAGAGAGAAAAAGAAAGACCCTCGAGTGAATGGCTCGATAATTGTTTACCTCCATTTCAGCATTTCCATTGACAATTAAATTTTCTCCCGGCGTTAATGATCCAAAAGACCCATTTGGAAATCGTGCATGAAAATAATGATTTTTAATAGTTGAAACTTGTTTTCCTTCTAACTGATCATTCGTTAATTTAGCTTGATATAAATCAGAATTTGAAAAATGATTTCCTTGAACAATATCAGCTTGAAGAAAATCTGTTTGAATAAGAGAAGCTCCATGAAAATTATTGTTGATAACTATCGTTTGTATAAAATAGCTATGATCAAGTTTTGCGTCTATGAATGAGGCAGCGCGAAGCGTTGAATTAATAAATCGAGCATTCATGAGATATGTATAATCGAAATTAGCTGATGTCAAGTGACAATTAATAAATTTAGCATTTGACCATAATACGCCCTTTATATTAAAACGATGAAAATTATGTGGACATGTTAATTCAACATTGTTTAAATCAGCTCCATATAGATTTAATTGATTATTTTGAATAAGATTTCTTTCATATAAAAATAAGAGAATGTCTTTTTTTCGTTTAACTTCTAAATCTCTTAATATCATCAATGTTTTTGATTGTATATGAAGAAGAAATTTTTCATCAGTATGATTATTTCCAGTTATTTGTAAAAATGTACTTGATATATCTTGAATATATGTATCGAATAGTAATTGTTGTCGTTGATTAAACTCATCTTGTTGTTTACGTTTATATTCTTCGTTAAATAATGACTCCTTTTGTAAAGTATAGACTATTGAAAAGTTAATAAGTATTAGCAGAATCAATGCAGATATGATAACTTTACAGCAGCGCAAACGCATTCGTGGAGTATTCGATGTTGAATTGTTATCTAATGAAGTAATTGGAATAATTTGTGCTGGTGGTGACCAACGACGCATTAACATACAAGTTTTCCTTGCTCAATGAATGATAATCAAATGAGCCAAACTGTTGGTAATACCTGATTCATATATATATATACGTTTATGCGGTGATATTAGTAACAAGTTCAAATATTCTCTCCTATGATTTATGAGCACGTATTTAATTGGCATGGTCTTAACACGTCAGATTTTTTCCCTGCTGGTATATTTATTGGTATCTGCTCTTTTTCTCACAATTAATACAATAAACACAAGATAAAAAGAGATTTTCATACTGTTGTTCAAAGCAAAGAAGAAAAACAAGAAAACAAATTATAATGATTATATATAAATCTAGTAAAAGTGAAAATAAAACAAAAGCTTGCATACGATACCACAAACTGAGTGCAATATTTTAGTTTTGGTACTGAGTAGTTCATGTAAATATTTTATTAGGAAAAAAGATTCTTGTAATATTTAATTAGGAAAAACGATTCTTGCAATATTTAATTAGGAAAAAAGATTCTTGTAATTTTTAATTAGGAAAAAAGATTCTTGTAATATTTAATTAGGAAAAAAAATTCTTGTAATTTTTAATTAGGAGAAAAGATTCTTGTAATATTTAATTAGGAAAAAAGATTCTTGTAATTTTTAATATGAGCATACTCTTTTATTTTCTTAAACTTTATGTTGATAAAAGAAAACTATGTCATGTTTCTAAAAATATCTCTTCCCAAGTTCTACGAAAAGCAAATGATTTCATATCAAGTGAAGTAGGCTATTTTCTTTTGTAGTTTATAATTATTCTTTGATACTGAAAAATAATATAAATATAGAATTCATCTATTTTCATTTCATTGTTAAAAATGAATTAGAAAATAAGATAGAAAGAAAAGTGTTTTTGTTTGCTGGTACTTAAAAATGGTTTTAAGTTATGCCATTTGTTTTTGAGTAAAACATGAGGGAGATTTTCTTAATTATTTATTAATATTAAACTAAGTGAAAGAACAGGTTTAACTCAAGCAATCTATGATTTCAACGATTTTATTAATATAAGAACGAGAATATATGAATTTTTTCGCACTAACTTTGTCGCAGTGCATTTGCTGCAATTTTCATTAGTCAGTACGGCAAAATTCATAGTATTTCAAGGAAGCCATATTAGTTGTATCAAAATTTTCAAAACTCTAATATAATTCTACGTGAAGAACAAAAAGAAATAAGCGTCTGCAAAACAAAAAGAACAGAAAAAAACAGTAGTTTCATTGATGTGTAAGCCATAACATTTATCACTCTGTTTATTAGAAGGAATAATAAGATTGAATTGTTAATTAACAATGTTCAGAAAAATAGTTCTCATCTTCACTCATATTCGGTGGAAATGTTCTTGTTTCATGAATAAGTCCGGATGGTGGCGACATATTATCTTCTTTTTTATTTTCATCTACTTTATCATCAACTGTTGACATGGCCGTTGTTATTCCATTTCTTTCACCACTCATATCACCTGATTGATTATCAACCTTGCCTTCAATATGTGATGGAGGATTAGTTAATGATTGTCTATTATTTGTTCTATTTGGTAGAACAATAACATCATTATCTGAACTAATGTTTGACATTTGTTGCTCATTAAAACGGTGATGTTGTGTAAGTCGTTGTTGTTGAGCATAACGTGTTCGATCATCATCAACATCTTCATCATATTCACCATCTTCAGCAATTGGAGTTTGTTGTCGATGTGTCTCCATATTGTTTCCACTATATGGCTGAAATATAGTTGGATTACGTAAATCCATTCGTCGATTATATCGACTTGCCGATGAATGCACTGTATCATCTTGACCATATTCTTGTAATTCGTAAACGCTATGTAACGTCGATTGATTATCATATGGACCAAAACGAACTGAACGTATACCAGATACCGATGATGCACCATCATTAAACGCATTTCCACCTTCTGGTCGTGTACCGTCTGGTCGAATATTTTTTTTAGCTGGTGCCGAACGTTGTCGGCGAAATTTTTTACTTATTGATGTTGGAACAACTTCAACTTGAATAATAGTGCGTGGTAATGCAATCTTCTTTGTTTCAGGTAATAGAAGTGCCATCGCACCAAGAATCAAAGATAATATACCGTAGATAAGACGAGACATTGTATTATTCAATCCAGCCTTAAATAACATGAACAAAAATACGTTATTAATAATAGAGATCTTTCTTGCCATCAATTACGTACTACGTGTTCTGAAGCTAATGCAATGCCAATTAATCGAAAAGCATAACAGATACCAAGTGTTGTACATCTATAAATAAAAGTTATTAAATTGTGTAGAATAATATTTTCGCTCATTTACCTTAAACCAGTTGGAAATATTTCACATGTATAAAGTAGAATAACAATAAAGCCTCCGCGTGAGGCAAATTTACCGACAAAATAAACAATTAACATTGGATTACGTAACTCTGTGTTATCTACACAATATCGTTTTGAATGAAAAATAATTCAAATGGCCGAGTTAAATTAAATTACCTGATTGAGCAGCCACTGAACCAAGTAAACAAACTTCAGCAATAAGAAAGAAACAAAATGTTGGCCAACGACGGCCCCATCTAAATGAAACGAAAGAACGAATTTAAATAAACAATAACGATCATATTTTATTTTTCATACTTATAAACCATTGGAAATGCAACAATGAATGAAGCAACTTGTATAAGATGTGTAAAGAAGTAATTGAGGAAAAAATGGTCTGTTAAATGTTTAACCAACTGCGGCGACTCAAGACTATATTCTGTTAATGAACTAACAAGCCTAGAAAAAATCGAAGAATTAATTAGAAATTCTTTTTTTCCGAAAAAAGATAATTATATACATACCAAAGACCACACATAACGAGTAGATAAATAGTTAATATTGATGAATGAAGATAATCAGTTGGATAAAATGTTGATAATGTTGGATAATAGTGATGGCCAGTTAGTACTTGTAAAATACGTTGTGATAAACTATTTTTCTTATTTGTTGTTGCTTGTAAATCAACCATATCAAAATCAGGATATTTTGAACCCAACAATTGGATATCCTCTACAAGGGAAAAACACGGTATTGTTGACAAATAAAAATTAGGAGAAAAACAGCACAAACCAAGTCGGAGTAATGGTTGAAAATCACATTGAATTCCTTTTGAACGTTTACCGCGAAGAAAATCACGTGCTCCACCAAATAAATCTTCAAAAACTACACCATTAAACCGGGCAACTTTGGTTAATGATAATACTGCTGTAACATAATCTTTTTGGGTTGTATACCAAAACATAGATTCTTCCGTAAACCTGATAAAATGTTTATGTTAAAATCAAAAAAGAAGCTGAAGCTATATTTTAATTCTTAGCAATGAGCTTTTTTATATGCGGAAGGCTATATTAGAAACACTTCAAAAAGGCAAGAGATAGTACGAAAAACTGATTACCTAGAATGAATCACAGAAACTAGTAGAATAGCTGCAACAATATTCTTTCAGCTAGGAAACACATTTATCATATTCATATGAGCATACTTGAGTTTAAAATCTCTAGAAATATATTGAGCGATTCTACGAAAGTTTCCAAACTGTAACATACAAAAAATTCATGTGGAATTACGTCTTTTAAAATATTGATATCCCAAAAGTAATGACAGTAGTAGAAAGAAAATTAATATAGTTTGTCGCAAACTATTCGGTAAATTTTGTATAGGAATGTTCACAACTCATAGTAACAGAAACAAAATGGGTATTAATGTTTAGTGTTACATTCAAAAACCAGAAAATATATTAATCGAAAGTAAGATTTTCTTTTTTGGAATTTTCAAGCTGCATATGAAAATTTTTTTACAGAGCAATGATCATCAACATAAAATAAAAATGATCTTTTTTTATTAGGACACAGAGACAAAACTTCTTCGCTGTCAAAATAATTGAGAATTTTCAAAACCTTCATTTGTGAAAATGATGAACTGCATGAAAATCATGCCATGCAGCTGAATACAATTGCACCGAAATCATGCTAATAAAAGCGTTAAAGTTTCGCGAGAGCAGCGGTATGAAAAATTATAGGCTAGCAATGGCATAGTTATTTTATTTTTGCCTTAATCACCTGCGAACCCACTGGTACTAGCTTACTGGTATTTCGTGTAAAATTTAGATTCATGACGCTTCGAGGAACGCGATAAATTCTTCGGGCGCTCATTTTAAGCTAAACCCAGATTGAAGCGACAACTATTCAAAGTAGTATATCCAATACTATTTTTGGTGCGAAAATCAGCATACACGATTCTTCTGTTCCTTACATATAAACTTCCGGAATAATCACTTCTCAGCATGTGGTTCTAAAAGAAATAGTGTTTCATTATAGATTTCCGTTAAAGTCATCGACGAAAAAGTATGCTTACTACAAAAAAGAATAGAAGATGATTCCATTCAAACTCATGGATAAATAGAATGACTCAAGAATTAACTGAAGAAATCAACCTGATACAATGACTTTGATTTTATCTGCAAAAGAAACAAAGTCACTGTATCAGAAGTGATGATACTAATCGAATTTTCCCATAGAAACTCTGAAATTAATCATTTAAATGTAACTCTTTTTTTTCATTTTCTTTTGTTGTATGGGTAGACATCCGTTTATGCTTCATCTATAAGATCTTCTAGTTTTTCTATTCCATTGGTAAAACATAGATGATATAAAATATTTTCAATTAACAATAATAGAGGATAAAATCAATTGATTTTATTTAGTTGAAACTCAAACTGATTTAATATATTGAAAACTTCATATAAATTTTCATTTTCGAATTCGATGGATTATATTCAAAATTTATACTTTCAGTACAGAAAAAGAAATTAATCAATTCATTCAAGCATTATATGTCATTGCTTAGAGAGAGTGTACATGTCACATCATATTATTTTTGTTTGAATAGGATATCAATAGATGCTATTGTCATGATAGTATCGTTGTCCACTATAGATATATTACTATTGACTCTGCGTATCATGTGAAAATTTCTATTACGAGATGAAATACAAAACAAAATGACTTTATTTCTTCAATACAAACTAACCAATAAAGAACGGCAGTAATGACCAATGGTATTGAAACAACCCCTTGCAAAATTTTCCAATTGCTTATAGCAAAGGCTAGACAGGGAATAATTAAATCAAATATGAATACTGCACCAGTTAATGATAGAGCATAAATTGCTCGAGATTCAGTTGGAAACTAAAAGTTAAAAAGAATTACTAGAAACAATCGATGATAAAAATAGCTATAGTTTATTTACCATTTCAATAACAAAAGGTACGGTAATTACTTGTACAGCACCAATAGCCATGCCAACGAAAAGAATAAAGAAAACATAAGAAATATAATCTTCACTAAGAAGTTGAAATATTGATAGAGCACATGCTGTCCACATTGAGCCTTTGAATAAAACGACGAGAGTAAAAATAAAAATAAATGAATATTTTTTTTATCTATTTTTACCAATTAAAATCATTTTTCTTCCACTATGATCAGCAATATAGCCAAATATAAGACCTCCAAGAGTCAAACCAATCAGATAGACAATATGTGGTATTTTCATACGCATTGGACTACAGAAGATATTGAACTGCAAAGATTCAATAGAAAGATTTAGTAAAAAGAAAAACAAAATGAACTCCTCATATCTGAGAGTTTAATTTATTTCTAGCAATGAGTTTATTTTGTACTAACATAACCAAAACATTAACTATATTCGAATCAAAATTTTGAATATTAAATGTTTATATCGTAAAAAAGAAATCGAGACTCTCATAATGTATTGTTTGTCGTCACAGTTCGAATTATATAAGAAAAAAGTATGTTTTGAAAATTTCCAAAAGAGTTTTATGTACATTAAAATATTTAATACGATGCGAAGCAGAAGTATTTATGTAGTCCTGCGCGAGTTTTCTTTCTTTGTTCCTTTTTTTAAACTCGACGTCCAGATCATATATTGCTAATTTGTGACGCAATGATCTAGACAACCGAACATCAGAAAAAACTGGTTAAAACGTGAAGTGAAAGAATCGAGATAATAGATGTACTATTTTTTTCAAAAAACTTTATAGCTACTTCCGTTGACTCGTAAATTGATNACTCGACGTCCAGATCATATATTGCTAATTTGTGACGCAATGATCTAGACAACCGAACATCAGAAAAAAAACTGGTTAAAACGTGAAGTGAAAGAATCGAGATAATAGATGTACTATTTTTTTCAAAGAACTTTATAGCTACTTCCGTTGACTCGTAAATTGATGCTCGAAAAGAGGATTTTGATCAAATTTTATTTTGAGATAATTAAAACGAAAATGAAAACGCTAAAAGTTAAGTGCTTTTATATCAACATTTATAAATGGATCCTATTCTAACACATCAAACATATAAATAATAAAGTAGAGTCCTCTATAGCAGATAATATGTACTTGTTTTCAAGATCGATCTCTAAGCTTTCAAAGAGTCTCTATCGATATCTCACTTGAAATGGCTTCTCTGATTCATTTACACTGCAGCATCACTTAATTCTTATTAATCATTATATTGACTTTATCTTTAAAAAAAAATATTATCATACATTATCTTTCTCAATTGCTAGCTCTTTTTTCTTAATTCTAGATCCTATTCGTCACGCTCACAACTAAAAAAAAAAAAAGAAATTCAAATATTATTTTTTTTAAAGTCACTAAACTTTCGACTTTTTTTCTTTCTCGACGTCCATATCAACTATTATCAAATTGTGACGCGATGATCTCAAAAACGGAACATCAGAAAACACTCCTTTAAATGCGAAATAAAAGACTCGACTTCAAATATATACTATTTTTTCCCTAAAATTCTCTACGTGCTACCGTTCGCTCCCAAATTTAGTTCCAAAAACACGATTTTGATCAAATCTATCTTTGAGATAATTAAAACGAAAATCCAAACCATATTATCAACAGCTATAAATAATTTTTTTCTAACTTGAGTGCGCATAAAAAATTCTCGTTAAGTAACGCGATGATCTCGAGAACCATAAATGATAGAGAACTCATTGAAACTGGAGATGAAAGTATCAAGATCGAACTTGAGAAATCTTTTTTTCTAATTTTTAATCGGACGTTTCGATCGCCTAAAACTATCGTTCGAAAATGACGATTTTGAAAGGTTTTTATCGTTTCAGGCTTTTAAGATAATTAAATAAATGACGTCATGAACATATGTTATCCACTCTGGTCTTTTCATTTACAGCTGATCTAAGATAATGAATCATGAAGATAATGAATCGATCAATCGAAATCGATGTTTAAGAATGTATCGCTATGTAAGAATGGAGTTTTCTCAGTGATGAATTTCATTATGTCGACATAAAAAGTATTCAAGATTTCTCTGAATTGTTGAAGATCCGATTCGAGCTTCGCATCGCATTTCGCATTCGAGTGAAACTTGAATACCATCTAGTTTGAATTACATTTTCCGTTCTATTGAAAATTGATGATAATCATCGTCTATTACTTTTCAATCTCGCGAGAATATTCTTTATTATAATTATATATATTGGCTGCCCTCTATTTAAAAACGATAAGAAAATAGAAGATAGTTTTTCTGAAATTTTTGACTTGTAAACACATAGTCCATAAATTGTCAGCGTCAAAGAATTAGAATACTTCGATTATCATTACATGTTAAAAGCAACTGATATTTTAAATTGCACAGCTGTCAGTGAGCTAGGTAAGTTAGCCTGCATATGGCTTCTCGTTTCTTATTGTGTACTCAAAAAAAAAGTGAGTACACTATAGAATCGGTCAGTATGTCCGGCCGTTTACACGATAACTCCTGAAAGGCTGACCCGATTATCATGAAATTTTGTACATAGCATTATCTCATCAATATCTCAGTCGAGTTCGAAGATGAAAGCAATCTATCAAGAAATGGCTGAGTTATCGAAAAAATTGTCATTATTGACCAGACCATCCCTGAGGGAGGGTACAGAGATTTTTTGAAAAAAAAAAGGTTTTTTCTCAGAATTATTCACAACAATNTTTTTAACGCCGATTCCGAATCTGATACTAGTTTTGAACTAAATCGTAGCTTTCTAACGAAACATCGCCTGAAAACGGTCCCAAAATGCACAAAAACTGCATCCAGAAACCAAAGTGCCTAGTTTCTCATGATAATTTTGTTGTTCAGACATTCTAGAATGACTCATATGTCCCATGTACTTTTTGCAGTACGCATAACTCTCGGATGAAACCTGAAGTTTCCACATTTTTTAGTCTATAATAGGCTTCATTATAAGATTTCTTTCTTTTTTGTTTTTGTTAAACAAACGTATCTTTTACTTACATCAGTTAATATACTTCGCCCATATTCTAGGCTATGATTATATGTTGGGTCTATTTTATAGATTAATTTGTCATGGCTTGTTTCACTAATAATATTCGATGAGTTCAATCGTATTGCTTTTTTGTTTAGAGCTTCGGGCTGTTGAAATTTTGTATCAAATGATGTAGTATTGTTTGGATTTGAATTATTTAAATAAAGTGGTACACAATCATAAAATTTAGGCTTTAATACTAGATAGATATTCGATAGAGAAGTTGCTAGAAAAGCAAAATAACTGGTTCTTACACGCAAATTCAGGCATTTCTGTAAGCCATGCTACAACGATGGCATAACCCAACGCCAAAATTATATAAGCACGTAACTGATGTTTGCCACATTTTCCTGTATATGTACTTTTCAGAGCCTTATCATAGTCCCAACTTTTTTTAAATGTTTTAACACTGCGTAATGCTCGAGCCATAGCCAATGATATCGGACTAATTGTTGAAATTGTTGGCTCTGAAGAATAAAAACAAAAATTAAATCATTGATTGAATTTAAGAAACTGTACATAGACACACCAGTCATACTCTAACAAGTCGTATCATTATTAGTTAGAACTTCCAAAAGACCTCTCGGCGTTCTTTATCATAGTTATCGTTAAAACACGAAACTGTTCTACAGAGCTACTGATGAATATTATAAGCGCGACATATATTGCATGTCGAAGAAACTAGATCTTGTAATCAAACAAGAGTCAGATCATTTCTGTTGTGAAATTATGACAACTAGATTTATGACTTGTGTCACATTCAACTTTGTCTTTCTACTATACAAATGTTGTTATTAGCTGGTTACTTTGTTGAACAAAAACAAAAACCAATAAAAACTCCACATACATATGCATACATAAATCGTTCTTTATCGTGCAAAATGCGTTTAAAATATAAAAAAGATTATTTAGTTGCACTACACTACTCCAACATGCACAGCACACAATTATCTTACTAACCATAGTCCAAATCTGATTCAGCAAAACTGGATGTTCGTTGTGTATAATATTGCTGATGATAATGATCATCAGGTATAGAAAATGTCACAGAACTTTTTCGACGGCGAGGTTCGACAATCATTACGATTTTTCAATTAATATGTAGTTATTTTAATCTGTTTATGAATGAATATGGTCGAAAAAGAAATGGAAGGAGGAAAAAACGAATAGAGACAGTAAATAATAAGATATTTATTCTACCACTATAATCTTCGTACTTAATAATATATCATCGTTATTGTTTTTGTTTATTTTTCGTTCGGGTCTCTCGACTTTTTCTTATTAATCGATTTAGAGACTTGTACGTTTGCAATATTCTAATTGTTTTGATATTTTCTATTAAAGAGCGTAGAAACAGGTAACAATATGTAAGAATCGACCATTGCTGAATAGAATGTTCGCCACTCGATATAGGTTCCGCAAAAAGAAGGCGACGGGTAACTACAACTATGGATAATTACCTCGAAGAAACATGAAGATCTATCGTTCTCCTGTTATTCTGCAGTTTTTTTTCTTTCTTTTTCTTTTCCTCTGTCTCAATTCTCGTTTTTCTTCTCTCTCCTAGCATTTTCTACGTTACATATCCTTTCGGAGAGGAAAAAGTCTCATGTAAATTGATTAGATGAGATGAATTTCTGAATAACAATGTTACTCTACTGAGTGAATAAAAATAAATTACTGAAAGACATCGGTGTTCGCATCATGATAAGGAATTCTAGAAGGAAAAAAACAGCAGCTAAAGTATCGCTTGATTGGCAAGTACCTCTTAACGGAACGATGAAAACAAACAGCTGCGTATTGAAAATAACTATAGTGATGGCTACCAATTGGCAGAAACTTCAACAGATTGAAGTGTCTTTTATGTAGATCACATCTATTTGTTGACAATCAGATCCAAATTTTTGTTTTTTTTTATTCTACTGCTAAATAATAGATATTCTCCTTTGTGAGAAATACACAATGAAAGCAATAGAAGAAGTATTTAAGAAAAATAAGAATCGTCACAAAAAAATATAGAAAAACTCATGAAAACACTATTACTATTCTGCTCGATTATCATTGTAATCGCAATAAATATCAACAATCCAAATAATATGACTTGATGTGACGCTGTGGAGATATCTATTGCTTAACATTATTACTCCGCACGAGGAGAGAAATTCTGTATCCCATCAGTCTTTTGTATGAATGGCCGCTGGCAGATCTAATAATATAGATATATGATTTTCTCCTTTGACGCATATTGTATATACGTATATCTATCTATACATGCATCTGTGTAGGGATTCTTATTTACTAATACATGGATTTTTAGAAAATAATTAATCTCGCTAAAATGCTGACTATAATTTTTCGAACTGTCTATGAAATATGTTTTTGAAAACAATTTCAAAAAAGAACACAATCTTTTAGTATGTTAATCATTCATGTTAATTATGCAAAGACTTTGTATTTCTATTTAGTCAACTACATTGAGTGGTGCATTGTATGCCTTTTCTTTATACGATTCACTGCTACGACAAATCAATATATTATTTTTATGTTGTTGCTTTTCTATTGATGAATTATTTTGCGAGCACAAGTTTTTTCTTCTTGCTCTTTCTCTGATTGCTGTATTGTGTTTTCCTTACTGTCTTCTGCAACCATTGATAGGAAACATCTAAATCGGTCCCAATAACCATACGCCTCTACACCACACAACTTTTCTTTCTTTTCTTCAATCCAAACTTACTTGTTATCTGTTGTTATTGAAGTAGCTCTATAAAAATCGAGCTACCTATCATAAAGAAAAAAGCTTAAAGAATCACGCTGTAAGTTTATGACCTATATTCGGCCTTCACTTGATCGTTTGGACAGTAGAAGAAACGAACAATATATACATGCATTCTAATGGTGATAATTCTTTCTTTTCTTTCTTTTTCTCCTGGTCGTTCGCTAAACACATTCCGCTTTCCCTCATCATGACTCTCATCGAAAGTTAACATTCATCTTTGTATAAAGAAAGGGTGTGCATCAGCTATTTTCTTTTCTTTTCTTTTTCTTTTATATTTTCATTTTTGATTTTGTTTTTTTCATCGTTTCATCTACATATATTAATGTACAGTATCAACCAATCAAATACAGCTATTATCTAGTTGAAATATATTTCACATAGATTCAAACACATCCACCCATACACACACACACGCACACAGAGCTTAAGATAACATTAAAAAGAAGCAAGCAACTCCACAACAAAGATGTACATTTAACTAACCTTTTCAATGTATATCAATTAAAAAATAGTCGGCATAATATAGTTCATCATCTAGACTAAAATACGACTGTTTAGTTTAGGTTGTTTGGTTTTATTTTTAATAAGTTTATTTGTAAGAAGAAAAAAAAGAAAACGCTGAAAAATTCTTCTCGAATGCCATATACATATACATATATATTTATATCCAGAAAAAGTCGAAATGAAAAAAAAACATCGAAACCAGTAAACATAAAGAAAAAGATAAAATACAAAGAGAATCTTTGAATATGTATTTATGCAAGTATATCATGCTGTATTTTTGTTTTTAATTATAGTCTGAATTAGTTTTGTTACTATTTCAAATTTCTTCTTTTCCTATCTGCTCATATAAATCGCACCAAAAAAGAAAGAAGTATATCGATATGAATATCGTCAAATAAACAAAAGAAAAACCAAAAGACACTAATACAATAATTTAATAGGATATTCGTTTATTCACAAAAGAAAAAAAGGTAAATTGACCAGCACCAAAAGAAGAAATGAAATTTTTCAATATTAGGAAACATCTAAAAATAAAAGAAAAATTATATGAATGATTTATTTTTGTTAGTAGTAATGATTATTTACAAGAAAATTGAAGTTCCGAAAATCGTTTTGCTAATTGATCTTGAGTAAATCGAACAAAACCTTCATATTGCTCTAGAAGAATGAAATTACATGTAATTATTTAACTATAAAAGACTATTTTGTACCATTAAGCTTATTTGATAGAATTTGATCGTATTCTTCGCGTATTTGTTCTTCACGCTCTTTTAATAATCGAGCACAAATCATATTGACTTGTTTAATTGTTAAAAGATGTTGACTATTTGAGGATGAATGTCCAGGTAAATTATTTAATGATGTTGAATCAGTGGTATGATTATGTTCATCATTGAATAAATCTGATGATGTTGTTGCTTTTAATTGATGTCGTCGTTGAAGACGGCGCACTTCTTCTTTTATTCGTGTTAATAAAATATCTAATTTAAAAAAACAAATTTATGCATACAATAGAACTTTCTTTTCTCTACTTACCAGCTGTTATAACTGGTTGAACATCAGGAAATACTGATTGATTTCCGTATGACATTTCTGAATTCGTATCATTTGTTGACGAAACAACGGTCACTGGAAAACAACGACGTTGACGTTTCGATGATGGTGTCCTTGATTCGTAAGGAGTCGAGTTAGTGTTAGAATCTCGATCATGTTCAAAAGAACGTTTTAATGCCATGCAGGAAGCCATAAGAGACTTTTATTTTAATTACAAACAAAGAATAAATGGAAACTAAGGACAAACACAAAATCTAAAAATTAACATATTTTTTTATTTATAAATATAGCAAATTATTGCAAGTGGTTACGTTGGTTGTATTACTCTCGAATGAGAGAGAATCAAACGAACTAAACTGAACAAGAAAAAAAACATTGTGAAAGATTTTACACTTTATCGATTTACATTTTTTTACCAACGATGAGTAAACAATAATAGATGGCGCTTTCATTCATTAATGAACATATCGGATAATATATATGTAGACATAGTTTTGGCAAATATAGGATACTATGAATTCTTGTGAACTATATTTTGTTTTATATTAATCTTTTTATAAAAAAAAAAGAAATAGTTTTTGTAGATATTATTTAATGATAGTCATTGTTGCCAATAAATTGAATAAAATCTATTGTATATACCAAAAGTGATTTTCGTTTAAATAATTGCACACGACTCTACTCTTAACAAAACAATCTAGCAGTCTTCTTGCATAGGATCGATAATGCCAGTATGATATCACTAATATACTTATACAGGAAGCATCATGCACTTTGTTAGACTTGTAGGCATCTAAATGAGTTGATCTAGATAAAATTTTTAGAGTAAGCACCGATTATTTTGTAGAATTTTCCGGCCAGCTTTCGACATACAACACAGAACAACAGAAATATACGGAGAAGTTATTCTTTAGATATTGATTGATTTCACAATCAAACAAAAATATAAAATACTTTTACTCTCTGTTAGAAAGCTATTTTTATTACTACATGACATGAAATAAATATCTAGATAACAGATTACAAAAATTTTGTTTTCATTCTTTTAGTTCGATTTTCTCTTTCCATATGGCACTTGGATAGGAACTGATGTCATATTGCAGTGCACGATTCGCTCAAGAATGGAGTGAGAAAACATAAAAGACATGACTCTTTGTGTAATCTGGAAGTTTCTTTCATATCATTTGGTTTTGAAAAATGTCCTTTTAGAAATGCTAGACAGTTTTATATGATTTTTTCCACGAAATACAAATTATTCTTGACTCAATTTAGTTGGTATTTTAATTTAAAATTGAGTGCATCGATAAGAAAAGTAATCTTTCGTTTCAGCTGCAACTAACCGAGTATTTAATGAATCATATGCAAATGAATTCTTTTACTCTTCTTGTTGACTTACGAAATTATTATTCCAGGCCCAATATGAATTCGAAAGGCGAATTTCAGCTCGGCTGAATTTTTCTCATTAGTAAGAACTTATAATATATCTTTGTATTGAATGAAATTCCTATTATTTAAATATTTTTAACGATCTAAGCGTTAGTTTTATTTATTCGCGTTCAGCTAATCAAAAAAGAAAACAACCAAGATAATGCTAACAGAAGACAAAAAACCAGTAATGAAATAAAAGTTTCTAACAGTTTAAGTCGCTGAAGAAAAAGACAAATAAACAGAGAAAAAGAAACAATGACAAGTAAACGATGATGAGAGACATGATGTAATCAACAATAACGAAATGCGTATGCATACAAATAGAAACTAGGACTTTCCGTTGACATATGACATATGTAAATAATTTATAGGGAAGGAATGTTTATCAAGGATATTTGACGATCTATTCAAAGTTTTGACTCTTGTAAAAATCGTTTACAAATCATCATGTTGATTGTTCGAATTCTAAATAAAGAAAAATATTTAATTTAAAAAAACAATTCGTCAGTTGATCATGAACATACTGTTGATTGTTTATCGTCGTCTGATTTTGTATCATCGTCAATAACATTGTCATCTTCATTTGTATCAAATTTAGCATCATGTTCTTCGTCAACGGGTTCGTCTTCAACTTTTTCGTCTAATGAAACACCCATAGCACGTCGTAACATTGATTCAATACGATCAGCAAAACCAGTTGAATCTTTAAGATCATAACCTGATCGAATTGTTGCAGCTTCAACCATAACGTTAGCTAAATCGAAAGCTGTCTTGTCGTCTTTTGAATCTTCAACACGACGAAGTAAATCTTTGATAAGTGGATGGCGTGGATTAATTTCTAATGTTTTCTTTTGATTTAAATAGTAGTTCATTGTTGAATCTCCACCACTCTTTTGATAAGCTTGAGCACGTGCTATACGTTCCATATTTCCATCATAGCCCCATTGTGATGCAACAAGAGCCATGGGCGTTTGAACAAGACGATCTGAGATTTTAGCATCACTAATTTTTTCGCCGAGTTTTTCTTTTAACCATGTTAATAATGGTTCATAAACTTTTTCTAATTGTTTCTTTTCTTCTTCTTTCTTTGTATTTGATTTGTCTAATTCTAAACCATCTTTAGCAACATTTTGAAATTTCTTTCCTTCATATTCAGGTAAAGATTGCATACAATATTGATCGACAGGGTCAATTAAATAGAGAATTTCATAACCTTTTTTCAAAATACGCTCAACAAATGGTGATTTTTGTGCTTCGTCAACGGACATGGCAGCAATAAAATAGATATGTTCTTGTTTTGGTTTCATACGTTCAACATATTCTGTTAAACTAGTTAATTTATCTTTTGATTGGGATGTTGAATAGCGAAGTAATTTAGCTAAACGTGTTCGATTAGCTGAATCTTCAATAACACCTAATTTGATATTGGTACCATATTCTTTCCAGAATGCATCATAATCTTCTGCAGAAATTTTCTTTAACATATCTAATGCTTTTCGTACGAGTTTCTTCTTGATAACCTTAAGTAATTTAGATTGTTGTAAAGTTTCACGTGAAACATTCAATGGTAAATCATCACTATCAACAACTCCTCGAATGAATGATAAATATTTTGGCATCATTTCTTCGAAATTGTCAGTAATAAATACACGACGAACATAAAGTTTAATGGCATCAGTTTTCTTGTTATAATTTGAAAACAAATCAAATGGAGCTGCCTTTGGAACATAGAGAATTGATTTGAATGTTACTTCACCTTCGGCAGTAAAATGACTATGAATCATTGGTGGTTCAGTATCTTTGGCAAATGATTTATAAAATGCACTGTATTCATCGTCTGTAACTTCAGTTGGTCTAAAACAGAATTTTGACGTAGAGACAATCTAGTGATTTTATTTTGTGGGTGGATTACATGAGATGTTGTCCTTCAATTGAACAAACGAATTCTACATTATTTTATCGAAATTTGATCTGACAATAGATTCATTCAACTATATTTAGAAGATGCACTTTTAAAAAGTGACTACATAGTGAAAACTTATTGTATGTCAAACTCTAAGTTACACAATTCTACTGCTCAACTGTTTGGTTTTTTTTATATGGATCATTCTCAACTTTTTACTCCATTCTAATTTCACTTACTTGCGTTGCCAGATTGGTTTACTTTCATTCATTAATTCCCAATCCCAAACAGTTTTATCGACTGTTTTGGTTTTGGCTTTCTTTTCTTCTTCTTTATCATCTTCAACAGCCGCATCATCATCTGTTTTCGTTTCAGCTTTCTTGCCATCAGCAGAAGCTAAATATGAAAATATCTATACACACATGTCTCTACTTCATTCAATTCACTTACCATCATCATCTGGTACTTCTTCTTTCACAACTTTTGATTTCCATAAATAAATATTGAAGTTAATAAATTGAGAATATTTGCGAATAATCTCTTCGAGTGTTGATCCTTCTAAATATTCACCAGCTTCCTCTTTCAAATGAAGACTAAAAAATGTAAAACAATAATACAGATGTCTAAGACAAATACATTGAAATAGGATTTTAGTTATTACCTGACTGTTGTTCCTCGGCCAAGTGTATTTCCACGTGGATCTTTGAAAACATTAAAAGATGATGAATCTGATTCCCAAATATATTGATCATCAGCATTATTCTTTGATGTAACAACAACCTTGTCGGCAACAAGAAAACTTGAATAAAAACCAACACCGAATTGCCCGATAAGATCACTCATTGTTGCACCTTCTTTACTATCCTTTTGTGTTTCTTGCATTCTATTCAAGAATTCTGATGTATCTGATTTAGCAATTGTACCAAGAAATTGAACGAGATCAGCTTTCGTCATACCAATACCCGTATCGGTTATATGTAACATGCGATTATCTTTATCAATCTTAATACGGATTGTTAAGTCTTCTTTATCACCAAGTACACTTTTGTCGGTAAGAGACAGAAAACGTATTTTATCGAGTGCATCCGATGCATTGGATATAAGTTCACGTAAGAAGATTTCTTTGTTTTTGTACAATGAATTGATAATCAATTTCATCATACGATTAACTTCCGTTTGAAATTGATGTTTTTCCGATGAATCAACTAGTGTACGAAATTCTTTTGCACTTAAACCATCTAACTTAATAGCTTCTTCTTCTCTAAATAGAGATTAATATTTCATAGAACGATGTGCATTGCACTCAAAAACAAAATCAACTTACTTTTGTACAACTTCATCATCGGTCTTTGATCCATCAGCATGCTTTCCTATATCATTATCCACTTTTGGTGGAATCGCAGAATCATTTTCTTCTTCAGCTTTACAAATACCTACACAGAATTATATACAATAAAATGATGTTCAAAGATTAATGGGATTATGTTACTTGAGAATAGAAATAGACTCAGCAGAGCCGAAAGTAAAAGCCACTTGAACATATTTCTCGGAGTGACACTTAACGGTTAGTATCGTAAAGAAATGATTTTTGTTAAGCTTTTGGTTTTTAATATGGTCGTCTTGATGTTCTGTTCGTTTCTGAATGATTGATTTCGAAAACCAATCAGATATCGCCGTGTATTGCTTTGTTCGCGTCAGTCTATTCGAGAAGATGTCGTTAATAATAAATGAAACTTATTAAAAATTTTATTATTGTTTTTTCAATCATAAAATTTTTCTTTTTACTTGACTTTATTAATATATAAAAATCTAAGTGAACATAGTGGAATTATATACATTACAATGGGCAACAATTCTCAATGGTCGATTTAGTAGCGTAACCAGGGGAACGCTATTGTACGGCATTGAGAGTAGTTAACGAAACACGAAGTATATTCGCAATATCAATAATGCGTTTATTAATTATCACGTTCTAGTTATCTTTCTTTTGATAGCAGTGGCGTATCACTGATTTGATTTTTTAATTGCAATACGAATACAAAAAATAGTAAATGCAATACATAACGTAATAATTGATACAAGAGCAACAGAAAAATTAATTATTATTGATGCAGTCCATTTTAGCGTCGTAGTTGTCAATTGAGTAGATGTTCTATGAGTTGAAAAAATAACTTTTATATTTTGAATTGTTGTTGGATTGATATTAAAATGAAGTTCAATAAGACGATCTTCACATATCAATGTTCGTAATGAATATAGAGATGTATGATTACGTTTCAAACTTAGCCAATTATATTTATGATTCAATGGACAAGAACTTGATTGTGTATTAATAATTATGGTTGGTGTAAGAAAAATTGCAGTACTTGTTTTCGTATGAGATGGTTCATCGATTTGAAAATGTTCACATGTTATATCAAGAGAAATTAATTGTGTATCAAGTGGAATGAAATCATTAAAGAAATATATTGGTTTAAAACAATTAGATAATTTTAAATCAAATTTCAGAGGACCTTTTTATGGAAAAAGAAACTTTTGTTGACTTTTTTGCTGTTGAATTCAAATTCTTTACCTAGTTGATTAATCATCGTAATGAATTGATTGAATGAATCTGTTTGGCCGTTATTAAATGACCATCGTGATAAATTCTTTGGATACAAATCATAATCTTCTCGTTGCTGACTAATCATAAAATGAATAGTACAATTTTGAAAAAATATACGACGAAGACTTTTAAGTTTTCGTAGACTTTTTATATCAACGTATATACACAAATTAATTAATTTTAATGACGTTATTCTTTCTTGTAAGATTGTTATGTTTTCTATTCTTGACGAGTTCAATGAAAATAGATCTACTATTGTTCGAAAAAATTCAGTACAATTTTCTAATGGCGAATGACGAAACATTGTCAAATCGAAACCTTCTTTTGTTATATTGACATAATGATCTGACAGAGAAAAAAAATGTAATCGAAATAAATTATCTATTAGCTAATTTAAAATGCTGAAAATTCGCGAAAGTCTCTTTTTTCATCATTGAGTAGAATGCATTGATTTACAACGAGAATGTTACTAGAATATGTTAAATTAACAACATCTTACCAATTGTTTTGTTGAATTGTATACGAGTAGAATTCGTACTAGAGTATACAGAAAGTCCGATGAAGAGAATGACTGAATTGATACACGCAAATAACATACGGATTAATAGTTGTGCATAGCAACTAGATAAGCTATGGTAAGTGCTAATTAAAATTGTTCACAAATCATAGCGCTGATAGAAGATCTCTTGTACAAATATATGAGTATCTTTGGCCTATAATGTTTAAAGCTTTATTGGACAGTACAAACTTACCCAGGTCGTGGACGTACGGCGGGAAACGGCCGGAAAGCACAGGAAAGCGCTGGAAAGTGGAAGCAGTATTCCGGTACCTGCCAACTGGAATACTGCTTCCAGTTTCCAGCGCTTTCCCGTGCTTTCCGGCCAGATACGGTGATTTTTCCGCATCTTTCCGGCCGGTTCCTACAGTATCCGTCCTCCGGTATCATTGACCTGGGTAGTACTAGATTTGTGAAGATTCTAATCCTTTAAAAGTTCTTTCTATTTTGTGTTTATTTCATAAATTTAAGATTGTGAAAAAGCATCACAAGAAACATGATGAAGGAAAAAATATAGCCATGTCAAGTTTATTAGTCAATTACGAAAGTGATGATAAGTGGGTGGTGATTTACACAGAAAAACATAATCACGGCATTGGTCGCATTTTGCACAAGGAATGCTAGAAGATGGACTGGAAGAATGACGTAGTTAGTTGCTTTTTTTCCTCTAAATAAAAAATTGAAATCATATGAACTTTTTAACTATTTAATTAAAATAAAAGCTTACAGAAAATTTTATGTTTTCGCTGGAAATACGTATAGAAAATCAAACATTCTTTCACACGTATCAAATACAGCCCAACGGCAGATATTTTATCATAGTTGATTGAGCTAATTTTTTTGCTATATTTATGGTTTGGATCGATTTTTCGTTCAAACCATATCTGGATACATTCAAAAAAGTGTCTTCTTTCCATTAAATAGATCAATGCCAATAAAATTGTTTGAAACACTGAAATAATTTTCATCTGTTTGGGATAAAACAACGTAGTATTTTTTCGGTGAAGCTGTTCACCTAATGATTTTGTGTCGATCACGACGAATCTTTGCTATTCATTAATTTTTGACAAGAGACGGCTGCTAAAATCATTTGATTTTGTAGTCATACTGATTTTATATTGACTACCCTGTTGATTGTCGACGAAAATATCTACGTCGTTGAATAACTTTTCACGATGAATTCTACACCTTAGAAGTTGTTACACACAGTGGTTGTATAACTGATGTTAATATCTGAAAAGTTAATGGCTGACAAAGACTTGAATAAAATAATTCGAATATTTGTTTGTTTCAAACTATATCAGTTTACAACAAGACAGAAAAAAGTTTGTTTTGTTTTAATGTTTCAAAGACATGCCGGTGACCCTTGTCAACTTTATCGTCTTAGTTTACAGGCAACAAAGCAAACGAATGATGAATTTGCATCTACACGTTTCTTTTTGCTCTCGAAAATGTAAGAGGAAAAAAGAATTGTTTCGATTCTCTCTTGCGATTCGTACACTGGAGATCATTTTTCTGTGCGTTTTATACTCGACAGATGGCTCACATTGTAGAAGTATATAAATACTCAAAATTGAATTATAACTTATACAAAAGTATTTGGTAACCTTGAATAGCACTCTAGATTTCAACGTCGACTGTTTAGGACAAATATATATGTTAAATTTACTACTAAGATTAAAACAAGTGATTAGACTTATTCATTTGAAATGAGTGTCATAGAGCGATATGTACTAAATGTTGAAACATATAACTAATAATTATCTTCGTTTATGTCAAGTGCAACAAAAATATGGCAGGCGTAAGACGCTGTATATAATCCAAAGGCATCACAAGATTTAAAGAAATAATATATTGACGAACAGAAGTTTACGTCGGATGAAAATTACATAATTAAAATAGTCAGCAATTCGTCAACTTTTAAGGGAAAATTAGCAACAGAGTCAATATAAATGATTGCATAAAACTGAATTTTTATTCTAAATTGGGAGAAATTGAACTGTATCGAATTTATAAACATAATCCCACATTTGATTGATAATTCTACAATAGAATACTTTTGTTCCGTTGAATATTTTGTGATCATTTTCAAACATCATTCGAATACATATGTCAAGTTTGCAAAGATGGATCGATCTTTTCTTTTTATCTATTGTTCTGATTTTGAATGTTAGTAATAATTGTATTGCTTTACCAATTTATTACCGCAATATTTTTCATTTTCTGCATACACATGCATTCGTTTGATTTTAATAACATATTAAAAAGCAAAAGTAATCTCTAATTGAGTCTTTTAGTTTAACTATTTTTGCAGCAAACTCACCAAACTATCAATACGATAACAGCACTTTTTACGTTAGAATTCATTAGTGGGAAAATGTTTATTCGCATTATTTACTGATACACAACTAAACTCTAACATGACAACTTTCCAATTCGATGAACAAGTATTACAAGAAATGATGTTTGATTAAGGAGCAATCATAGTTAAACTGTTACGTGTATGTGAAATGAATCGGTGAACGACTTATTTAGAGATTCTTCAACAAGTAGGAAAAGAATTTTTTTTGTCAAATATTTGTAAAAATCTGGTTTATGACTATACTAACACCAGTAATAGTTGTTTCACGCGTGCATCGATTGAATAAAGATCATTACTTTTCAACATGACTGTTGAAATTGAGATAATCGTCAAACTAAAAAGCATAGCTATATGATATCAAGAATTCAATTTATCTAGTCTACTTAGAAAAACATTTTTTTCTCAAGCCAATTTTTTTCAATTGAATGTACATTTCAAATCGTGTTATATGTACACGGATGAAAAATTTCGACTTCTTTTCAATTAGTTCAGAAGGAAGGAATTATGCCCTCTTCATAGTATCATTCAATCGATTGGGTCATTTCAAACAATGATGAATCATATTCTCCATATACAAAGAATATTCATTCATACAGAAATTCTTACATCAAAGAGAACACAAAATCATGCCTTCGAATGAAACTAGTAATGTTCGTATTATTCTAACTCCCATAAAAATTGTTCGTGATTCAACAACTGGTCAATGGTCAACGCCAAAATTAAAAAGCGATTCACTACAAAAAGTAAAATATAATCTGCGCGTACGAACACCATCAACGCCCGTCGTGTCATTATCATCACCAATAACAAAAAGAGAAACAAATCATACACCACGACCTTTAACAAGAGCAAGTCGTCAAATTAGTTTTGAAAAAGATAAAGATGAATATGAACCAAATCAATCCTTTTCAACTGACGAAGACGATGATGATGATGGGGATGACGATGAAGATGACGATGAAGATGAAAGTTCATCGAGTGATGATGAAAAGATTATATCAAATAATAATAATAATCGAAAATCAACTTTGGTTAGTAAAGGAGCACCAGCCACAAAGAAGATACGACCATCATTTTTACCTCGGGTAAATCATCATTTCTATGAAACGAATTTATCTAATATTTTTTTATCATTCTTAGATGAATACATTGACATTGAATGATTTACAAAATGATGATGATGGTATAACATCTATGGATATTTCCACTGATGTATTTGCTCAAGCTCGACAACGGTTGAGTTTTTTTTAAATGCTTATTTTGCTTTTATCACGGTAATATGAATATATATTTAGACTTTTACCAACTAATTTACCTGAAGCACCACCATGTCGTGAACAAGAATCAAATTCTATCGCAGCATTTATTACAAATAAACTCGATGCACAAGCTGGCGGGTAAAAATGAATTTTTGAATAAATTATTTTTCTTTCTCGAAAGATTTTCTACTTAGCTGCTACGATATCGGAATATAAATTTCATTTTCTGGTAACTCTTGTCAATAATAAATAGTTGAACATCTTTTTGTATAAGGCTATAACCTTTTCGTGAAATTGAATCATTATGCAAGGTTCAATCGAACAAAAAAAAGCCTTGCGACATGTTTACTCGATTTCGACTAGCTATTTCAAAAACAAATCATGTATTGAGCAAGAATTTTCTCTAATGACCAGAAAAAACATTCTGCTGCGAACTCAAACGGAGTAAATTATTAATTCTGGTCAAATCTAAATAAATTGCATACATACACGTGGATAATCAAAGATGATTGCATTGATTACTCTTATTGGTTTGATGAATTTTTCATTACAATTATTTTTTAGAGCATTGTACGTCAGTGGTGTACCCGGTGTTGGGAAAACAGCTATTGTAAATAAAGTAGTACGTGAATTAATGCTTCTTTCAAGTGATTCTGATTTACCACAATTTAAATATATTTTTCTTAATGGAATGAAACTAAATAAACCTGAAAAAATCTACAATCAACTTCTGCAAGTAAATATTTTCTTTGGTAGCATTCATTTTTTTTGATTAGATCGGTTTAGGCAATTGATGAAAATGAAATTGATCGAAAACGTAGTTCGAAAATGGCATGCAAGCTTCTATCGAAATATTTTACAGATCGAATTAATAAAAAAAGACAACCCACTGTGCTATTACTTGATGAAGTAATTTAATATTTTCTTTTGGTTCTGAGCATTTGTATTGTATAAATTAATTTTTAGGTTGATCATTTATATACAAAAAATCAAACAATATTATATAATATGTTAGAATGGCCTCAACAAGCTTATTCAAAATTAATTGTTATTGCAATAGCTAATACACTTGATCTGCCGGAAACAATGTTTAAAAAAAAACTTCAATCACGTTTAGTAAATTATTTTTTTAATAACAATGAATATATTTGTATAAATGTTTCTGTCTGAAGGGTTTAAATCGTGTCATATTTCATCCATATACATTTAAACAGCTCAGTGAAATAGTTCAAGCACGTCTTGGTTCTGATTTATCATCATTATTTGATAAAGATTCACTTGATTTAATATGTCGAAAAGTTTCATCGATATCTGGTGATGTTCGTCGTGTTCTTCAAATATGTTCACAAACATTAGATATGGCACAATTAGATAAATCATCAAAGAAAGTTACACTTGAACATGTACAAAAAACTTTTGAACGTTTATATACATCAACACGAACCATATGTATTCGGTATAATTTGAACAGCAGAAAAATGTGTCTATCTAGTCTGAATAATTTTCTTTTGATAGAAATTTAAATCCTGTTCAACGTAAAGTACTTGAAGCTATTCAAGATGAATTATCCTATGGCAAAGGTCGAGAAATTACAACGATCAATGCGATTTACGATCGACTTGGTATGTCAAATTATTCTTTTGTTTTGTTTTTTTTATTTAAGATTTTTATTTAGATAAAAACGAATATAGTTTTACAGATGTTCGTCGTATTTGTGCACAATTATCAGCTTGTGGATTATTGTTACTAGATAAAACATCGACTAGCATTGCTCGACAAAGTGTTCGTTTGAGCATGCCTATTCATTTACTTATATTTGCACTTAAAAATAATACTTAATCATTATATTTTTCTTGAAAAAAGTCTTTGATAGAATAAAAAAAGTCTCTATGAATTATTTTTCTCATTTACCAATTTGAAAACTAAAGGAAAAGTTGAATCTTTTTTTTTATTTGTAATGACTGTTTATCTGAGTTTTATTATGATTGATTATGTAGGGAAACGATAGGCAGTAGCATAGGGATTTTTAATTTCAAATCGAAATATTTCGTCTACAATTGTCATAGAACTTTTCATGTAAATGTTGATTACGAAAATAGATCTGTTCTGTTACATGAACTAAAAGCACGGTGGCGAAACTAACTTTACCTGAAGATCAAAATGAGCTGTCTATTACATATTTGATCAGATATTTGATGAAACTTCTAATTGCATATAAGTATTCATTGTATATACACGTATATCTATGAATTCAAATATTAAGTTTGCGTCGCACCATAATCTAACTCATCGAATGAGAAATTTCTATCTGATACTTATTCGATTATCGCCATGCATTTTTGATGTCCTGGACCTATGAAAACATCTAATACTATCTTGAATGCGTCGCTATTTTCTATAAGCTCGTTAAACAAGTCAACACATTGCATGCATTGATATGACATTTCAGGTCATGTAATTGACCGGCTGCAATGGTTAGAAAACTCTCGTTAGAGCATTACAAGATACATTTTTACATTGTTTACACGACGAAAATCGTTCGATCTGGATGTATAAATGTATTTGATATGACAAAGACTCAGAGAAAATCTCTTACAGGTTTTTCACAAGAATATTATCACTTTTTTTTCAACATTTTTCGATATGTGCTATACTTTCAAATTCTGGATGACTAACGCTTGGTTAGAATATATTTCTTTGGTTACACATCTTTTTTTTTCTATGGTTCCTATGCAGTAATTTACATATAAAAACATTTTAACATTCCTGTAAAATCATTTGATGTCCACAGCAAAGCTCTCTAAACACGTGTTTGGTTTCTACTGCAGTCTATACTATCAGGTGTATATGCAATTGAATACACAAAAGAAACATCTTCTAATCCTTTTGACAATACGCCAACACAGTTAGTAAATGTCGCCGTTTTTGCCTCGCATGAAATGTACTCTCATACTATATGTAATGAGATCAAGAGAAAAAAAGCAAGACTCTTGCAGTGTACACTCCACCTAGACTCATTTGTACTCGTAGTTTTTTCGGCTTGAGTTCGTTTCACTTTCCTCCCCTTGTGTTGCGACTTCCTGTAACTACAATGTATATTTACGGAAGGCTTATGAATGAGTTGATTCAATTAACAAGGAGAGGAATAATGTGCAACACGGATATACTAACAACAATAAGAATAGTGTCAGTGAACAGATGAAAAATTCACTTCTAAATGTAGAAGTACGTAATGTATTATTAGTAGAAAACAACAATCGTCTGCCAGATATTTCTCGATCACTGCTTTTGTGTTCGACAGATTTGCAGCTGCAAGTTAAAAAGTGTTTGTCACATTAAGTTATATTCAACTCATAACTAGATACATAATAAACTATTGGGATTATTAACTTATCATAAAAGCTGAACATAGTGTTTTTCATCATGTCTCGATTTATTTGTACATAAAACAACGATAACAACAACATATAGAAAATCCCATTCAAGTGAATATATATACATACAAACATCATAATAATCTAATCTATTTTACATGGAAAAAAAAACAAGAATATATCTGCATGATAGATTTCCAAAACGATCGACTTTATACAAAATACAAAACAAAAAGAAGAAGAAAAAAACGAAGTTCGACCCATGAATTAAGTAGTAAATGCTTTTGCACGTTCACGTAGTTTAGCGATTTCACTTGATATAATTAATGATGGACCTAATTTGATTTTCATAGTATCACGTAAATGTTCTTGTGTCATTAACAACAATGCTTGACCATCCATTTCACTTTCATAGAAAGCTTCACGTATTGTATTATTTGTTAGACGTGCAACAAATTCACCAACTTGAAAAACAGTCCATTTACTTGGATCAGTTGGTAAACCATGATCAGGTGGTAATGATATTGGTTCATCATGATTTGATTCAATGGATTGTTGTGGTATAGAATTTTCAATCATTCTTATTGGTTCACTTATTGACGGTGTTTTAATATGATCAGGATTCTTTCCATTTATTGTTTTAGCTATCTTAGATGATTTCATTGAACAGGACCGTGAACAAAATTTTTTTTCTTGATTAAAAAATCGTTCTGAAAAATCAACTTTTTTACATAACGTACATCGAAGTTGATCAGAACCAAGATCACTATTTGTATCATTAAAACTATGATTTTCTTTTTCTTTACCAATTGAATTGTTTAATTCTTTTGTATGATCATCATTTTCATCAGCTGGAAACGGATGACTACTTTCACGTATAACAAAGCCACCAATATAATGAACTACAATATCACTATTTTGTGTTTGATTAAGAGATTTAATTGGCGAAGGATTTAATTGAACAACATTAGGTACTGTTGTTGTCGATGAAGCATTCGTTGATGGTCGAGGAGAACTTGTCGTTGGAGATGATGTTGACGATATTTGTAAATTTTTTAATGGAATCGTTGCATGATTTTCAATAGTCTGTGTTATTGGGGGAATATATGAGCGAGAAAGACCGTTTGTTGACGTTGTTGTTATTGGTGTTGATGGTGGTGGAATGATTGTTGTTGGTTGATTTGAATAAGAATATGAAGAAGAACATGAGCTAATATTGTTATTATTATTAACGGAAAAGATATTCATAGTTGGCGCAGCAAGCATGTTTGTTGACGATACATTGCCGCTGAGCAAAGATGGATAAGAATATTGTTGCTGCTGTTGTTGTTGCTGTTGCTGTAACAGTGATGGATTATTAACAGGAATTGTAGTCTGTAAAATTTTACAAGAGAATTTCATTACGTGACTAATATTTTCAATAAAATTAAGTACAAAAGTAAAGATGAAGAAAAATAGAAAAATTTCGCAGTGAAATTTCAACGAAAATAGTATCGAACTGACTGCAAAGTCAATATTCTTTTGGGTAAAGATGTAGTTACTAGTTTACTAAAGATGCACACTTTTTAATTGCTTAAAATTGACTCAGTCAGAGTGATGTAAAAAGACTTACTCTCATAGATCTCTAAAACTGTTTAGGATTTATTCAATAGGAAATTTTAAAATTTTCGTCAAAAATTCATGCTAAGCTTATTCTGCTCTTGAGGTATTAAGGATTTATCTCTTGATATTTGTATTTCTTATTGACATATAAATTACAATTGAATCTTAAATAAATAGAGGCTCAATTTTCGAGATTTTACAATTGCGTATGAAAGTATATTCACAAGAAACTTACTGTGTGATTTATAGATTGATTCGGAAATATTAATGAAGCACCACCATTTGTATGAGGATGTAAATTATTAAATGTTGTAGTTGTTGTTGTTTGACCAGGTATAAGTAATGTTGTTGTAGTTGTCGTTACATTTGGTATGGATAATTCTGTACCTTCAGGCATAGGACGACATTTAATTGGTTTATTCGTAAATGGATCACGTTCATATAATCTGAAAAGAAAACAATTTTTTTCTAGAAACTCTTTTTCCTGTTTCAAATCTTACCTAGGTCGTCCACGTTTCTTTTTCGATAAACTTGAGCTATTATGAATGATTACAATAATAAAACATATATGGCTTGATTATATTTTAATTTACCTGCTTGAACGTCGATGACGATGATTAGCTTTACGCGCTAGTTGAGAAAGTGAAAGAGAAAGACCTGTATCGGGTGTTACTGAACCATCTAATCCTAAGTAAATAAATATAGTTTCTGATTTTCTATTATTCGTATATTGTACTAACCCGATGTGTCATCTAAAGACGAATCATTCTCGTTATGTATCGGTGATAGTTCTCGTCCATGGGATTGTACAGTACTTCCATTCAATATTGATGTTGGCATTATTGGATTTGGTTGAAGAAGTGATGGTTGATGAGTTACAATATTACAACCTGAATTGAAAATGCAAAACAATAATTATTAGATAAAAGGTTCCATCGTTTATTTACCATTAAGTAAAGATGTTGTTGCAGGTATTTGAGTCATACCTGTTAGTTGCTGTGTTGTCATTGTTGTTGTATCACTTGTTAAAGTAGCTATAAGAACAAAAGACCAGATGATTACTAAGTTTATCATAATTATCAAAATAATTTACTTCGTTGCATGTCAATTGTTGAACTAGTACGAACAGTAGTTACTGTCTGAGAATTTTGATGTGACTATTTTTAATAAAAATTGTACCGTAAATTTCTCTTGAAAAATTTCTTTCTGTTGTTTTACCTGTTGTGTTCCAATAGGAGTAACGGTAGCTTGTTGTTGTGGAAAAGTATGAATTTGCGTAGAGTTAGGTACTAAAGAAAAACAATAATGAATAATAATATTATACAAAGAGATAGAATTTGTTTTTATGTTGTTAAGCAAATTAGACTTACAAATAGAAACATCTCCATTAGTTTGATATGCAGGAATAACTGGTTGATTTGCTGCTGCGACAACAGTTATGGGTGTAGCTTGAAGTATTTGACCAGCTTGATTACGAAATGTAATTGGTTTTTGACCATCATTAGCGACTTGCACAAGCTGAAAGAGAGATTTTGGTTTTTGGTGGAACGAACGAAAAATTTCACATACTTGTCCTTGATTTCCATCTACAACCAAATAAGTAGTGAATCCTTGAGATTGGTTCGCTGCTGATGGTTTCACAATTGGAACATCTGATTACAAAGAGAAAAAAAATAATAATAATTTGCTTATTTTTTTATCGATTTAATTTATTACTTGCTGATATAGGTTTTGGTACAAGTGGTGCTAGTTAAAAGAGAATATATATATATTTATATATAAATGTATATCTATTTAGATGACTTACTCATTTGATTACTTAGTAAAACAGTTTTTTGTGGTTGAGGTAATATACATGATGTTTTACCAGTAGATGGTCGAGCAAGTAATGTAGCTTGTTTGGCTGGTGATCGACTTATTTGTTTATTAATATGAGAAGCTCGAGAACCCTATAAAAATTCTTTTGTTTCGATTTCATCGAGAGAAAAATATTAAACAAACTCGTTTGGTTTGCTTGATGGTAGCTGTTGGTGTAGTAACAGTTATTGATTGATCTGAAGCTATTGGAACGGCTACTAGCTGAGTGTAAGTTGGTGGTGCAGGAGCGATTGGTACTTCATTGGATACAATTGGAGGCGCAGCAGGTGGTGGTGGTTGCATGATATGAAATGTTGGTTTTTCAGTATCTTCAGATGTTAGAGATAGTGGTGCATTTGTAGCTTCTGCTGATTCCGAGGGAGGTACTGGTAGTGTTGATATGAGTGCTTCAGATAATGAAGCTGATGCAGGTACTGATTCCACCTGCATCTTAGTTGACTAATATTTATTTATATATATATCTAGAGTTAAAAAATAGTTATTTTAGTTGTTCACTTTATTACGAGTTTGATCTATTATTTGCTTTACTTTGATGTGCAACGATTCTCTCTTTTACTTTAGCTTGATTTTCTCTAGTATAAAATGAATAAATAAAAATCCAGAGAAAAAATGGCGAAATGTTTCTCAAGGAACGATGTCATACATTGAACAGACGAAGCGATGAAAAAAAAGACAAACGAATGTTTTCTACTGGTTGTTACAATGTGTTTTATTTCAGACAACCAATCAACAGAAAAGAAATTAATAACCAATCGCATTACTCTATGACAACTGATTTGTCACGACCTCTATACAACAATGTTCTCTTAAGAGATTTATCGGACGCGATTTAGTTTTGCGAGAATCACTATCATCAAGAAAGAATCTTAGTTAGTTTATTTGCTCCGTGTGTTTATCTATCATCATAGCTGAATGAAGAAATTCGAACAATTATTCTTATATCTATAAAATATCATGTATTTGCTGATTTTGAAATCGTTGTACAGCTCAATCAACTTGGAAACGACGCTCTCAATTCTTTAGTTTCATGCAATAAAAAAAATTCAAATACACCTCGTATCAGCATCCATGATTTCTTCAGAGAAGGGTAAACCATCCACTCTTGAAACCGTTGTTTTTCTTCAATTGATTTTGGATTTTCCTATTCTTTTTTATTGCTCGACGAGCCACTATGAAGCAAAAATATTTGCAATACTTCTTCGTTTTTCTACAAATAAAATTGTTGAACAATGTTAGCTTTCTCTTTTATTATTATCGACAAGAGGCACTAAAAATCGATGGCTCACTGATATTGTTACAAAAATATTCATGTTATGCAAGAAAATTGTGAAATTGACATCTCGTGTATATTTAATAGCCAGCACCCGGTTTTATTTTGATATATTGAATAGAGAAAAAATCACAGACATATTACGGGGAAATTTTTTCATAGAGCACCATCAGTTTTATCGAGCAATTTCAACAGTGCGCCGACTAAATAAAGACTGCCAGTGACTAAAACACATGGTTTTGATGATTTACTATCATCTATCCATTCTAATGCTTGTGACACTGTATGAAAACAGTGTATCGGTGGTATTGCTGTTTGATTTTCTACAGTTGATAACCAAAGTTTTTCAAATGCAGCTACGTGTAATGAAAGACGACCTATTTCGCTGACCATATTTGATGTTGCTCGCCATTGGTCTGTAAAGATAGAAATGAATTCTCTCATAAAGAGCCCAAAACCTATGTTCTATTACCATTGCCAAGTTTTTTATCTGTTTGAGAATTATTATCGATTATTGCTGTGGATGTGATCGGTGAACAAAAAGCAACACAGTCAAATTTACATTTCTATTCGTATATGCATTTAATAAAATAATTGAAAAATAAAAGGGAAAATTCCACTTTTACCATTAGAGGTTGAAGCAACACATCTGGCTGTCGATCATATGAACAATAAAATAAAAGAATAAGTCTTGACAATGACTTTTGTTTCAATAATGAATCATTAAACCAACTTTTACATTGTTCTATTGATTCAATTGTACTAATTAAAAACAAGATTCACGCGAAAGAAAAATAAAATTTATTTCTCATACTGTGCACCATCAAGGTAATAAGTGGCATTTTTTGTATCAACTACTTGATTACGACCCAACCACTCGCATGTTGCTAAACCTTGAAGAATATTTTTATTTAATGGGCCATTCTTAAGTTGATCATAAGATTCTCCTAAGAAGAATGGCAATAGTTCAGTGTCGAAACACAAAACATTTAATGATTTACTAACCTGTCCGAGCTTGTAGCCAATGAAAAACTAATTCTATTGCCAATGAAGCATTTATTTCTTGTACATCTCCAGCAAGTGAAAGTTGAAATGGATAACTTGAATAATGATTTAGAGGAGATGCGATTTTCAATGAACACTATATATATATAATGAAACTTTTTATAATAGTCTACTTGATTTTCTTACATGTTTTTCTTCAGCTCTTTCGTGTAAAATACGCATGGCTTCTGGTTGTTGTGGTACAGTAATAGCTGGAACATCGCGTTTAAAAATTCCAGCTTTTTGCCATGCAATTTGCTCTATCGTATTGCCTAATAGTTTAACATGATCTAATCCTAATGATGCAATGCCACATACAATCGGAGTCCTATGGATGTAATCCTAAGATATAGAAATGAACATGCAATATAGAATTACAAACTTGATAATATTTGTACAATCATATTCTCCACCAATGCCTACTTCGATAACACCAACATCGATCTTTTAAAATAAGCCAGTTCTTTTCATAAAAACAGATCAACTAGTATGTTTTCAAACCTGTTCATGAACAAATACGTAGAACATCATTGTTGTTAGAAAAGCAAAATAATATGGCATTTGAATTGCATTCTAGAAAAACCAGAGTAAAAGATTGAAGAACAGAGGCTGCTTATCGAAAATTGAATTGAGACTACGAGTGTATTTTTAGAAATTTTTTAATCTGATGAAGTCTAATTTTTCAGTATATCTCAGAAAAAAATTACGTTCTCTCGTTGAAAAACTCCAGACGCAATCAATGTTTTTTTTCCCTTCATTGCTGCTATTATTTGAAAACTCGTTTAATAACAATCAATGAACTCATCGTTTTGGTCGAGCAATTGAGGATAAATCAGTATTTGAAACGTGCTATAACCACATTACTTCATCAGTTGATTGTTGAACACCATCACGAATAACATTATAGCATTGCCAAAAATAATCAACAAATTTTTCTTTCGATAACAACTCTCCATTGATTCGAATGCGTTCTCGTGCTTCAATTAAATGTGGTGAACTAGAATGCACTTTATTTATATAAAAAAAAACCAAAAAATCTTAACTCAAGACTATTGAATACCTAAAAAATCCAGTCTTATAACCATATTGTCGTAAAATTGATTCAGTAAACGCACATGTAGATCCTTTTCCTTTTGTACCTGCTACGTGTATTATGTTAAGTTGATCGATTTGATCTGACTGCAATTCAAAATTCAAGAAATAGGAATTAGTAAAGAACTTTAATTGAAAAAACAATAATTTCAACTTATTCGAGGCATTCAGAGTATCATGCATAAGAACAATATTAGATTTGTTCACACTTACAACGCTCTTGCCTCATTTACTATCGTTTGGTCACCTGAACGTTGAGAAGTGATAGATAACGTTGAATGATTTCCATTGATTTCCCACGTTGATCGCCGGTTCGTAATGATGAATGATTCGTCTGCAAGACATTTAAAGTTGAGATCGCTTCCTAAAATTAAAATGCTCATGAAAACAAAATGAGTTTAAAAAAACGTCCTTCTAACTTCATAACGATGTGATATTGTTTGAGTAGCAGACGCCACTTTTCGGATTTGGGGAACTATAGAAAAACGATACGAGACTAAGCGGTATGAGTAAGATAAAAAAAAATTCATCTAAAACAAAACAAATCTTGATGTATGCGGTGACATTGCTAGCTTTTGTTTTGTCGCTCTCTATCATAACAAAGAATGCAAACGTAGAAGATAAGTATGGTATTTTAAAAATACAGAATATGGGAAAAGAGAAGTGAATGTTGTTAAAAATGCCGCTCTATTCATTTTCAGATAGGTATTGTAAGTAGAAAATTTTCAAAAATAATTATTTTTCTTATTAATAGAACATTATTTCATACTAACTCTGTGTATGATAATGATTTTATATAAAAAGAATTCACGTGATTTGGAGAAAATATCAATTAATCGAATGTGAAGATGACTTTTTTTAGTAGTTGTACGTCGAATAATTCTTGTTTTTTCTTCATGACAACATGTGTATATTTAAGGAAGGTTACGCGAATCTTGTCCTTGAAAATTGGTATCATTTTTTAGGAGAATCTATAGCTAATGCTAGTAGTAGAAGAAGAAACGCGAAGAAAAAGTAAGTATAAGTAGTTAAATAAGCCACTCCTGTTTTAGCTATCGAAAAAGGAAGACAACGAAAAGCTATGTGCTCTTATTTGGATACTCACTCCATCTAGAGAAAAATGGAGCAAATATAAAATGTCAATAATCGATTGCATTATTGAAAAAACTAAGAGTTTTTCAATCAGTAAATGACTACACTTCTTTGTAATAGAAAGATGCCGGGTTCCGAATATCGGTCGTAGGACAGATTTACATATTTTACAACTGTATTCACACTCTGCTGAACTGTTCTTTTAATTAGGTTGTTGTGTTGACAATTATCGCCAAGATTTTCAAAAGCACAAATTGTTCCAATTTTCGTCAATAAAATGAAAAGTACTTTTGTTAAATACTTTCATAGGAACTTTACCATAGATTTTTTTATGCAAATAAAAATAAATGAACAATTACTATCAAACTTTGTTTTATTAGAAAAAAAAGCAATATAAATACTAAAGTTCTTGAGAGATCAATATTAAACAAGATCGTGACAACAACAACAACAAAAAGACATTTACAAGCAGATTAAACGCTTTAATAGAATAATCATAATATAGATGTTTCATTTTCCCATGAGATGCCTAGTTCGAATTCGAATACCAGTGGACACCCAATTGCATGGTATCAATTCGAAAATAAGTGATAGAAATAGATTTAGTTTTAGATTTAGTTTAAGATGGAGTGGGTGTGGGTTGAGGGGGACTAAGGAGTAACTGTTGGTGGCGGTGCGAGTGAGGGGGTGGGTAGGAGGGGTACCCAGAAGAGGTGCGGGGTACTTCAAATGTGGTTGTGGTGATGGGTACCACGGAGGAGTGCTCAAATATGGGTACAGATGAAGGTACCCAGGGTGGTGCCTGGGTTGTATACCTGTGGGTGTCGGTTTGACTGTAGAGATATATATCTATTGATATGTCGCATATATCGGAAAGTTAAACTAAAGCTAAATCTAGGAATGGATTTAGTTTTAGTTTAATTTTGTCTTTTCTCCATTTATATTCGAACTCGAATTAGACAACAACTCTCCCATTGCGAAGTAAACACATCATCAACAATGGCAGAACATGATTTGATTATCGACAATTTCAAAGAATAATAATAAATTAGGCGTTACTTGTAGATCTTAATATTTAAATTGAAGTTTTCATTTAAAATTACTTCTTGTCATTACTTTATCGTATTTCTTGAAGCATAATTTTAATTGAAAAATAGTTATTGGTATCTGTCGCAGGATTATTTTCATTGTTGAATATATACGTTCATGGATTATTCTATTATTTTTAGATTAAAATCTATATCCTGTTGTTATAATGTCGCTTTTAATTACTTTTGTTTGCCTTGTTATAGATAACAATTTAAGGTTACACGTACTGTTTTCAAGTCTAATAGTCATTGGAATCAGTAAAAACGAAGACTAGAAAGTCTAGACGAACTGCAAAAATGATAGTATATTGTATTGTTATGATTAACTATTATCGTATGAATTATCTATTATTATTTATGAAAAATATGGACATAATTTAAATACAATTTACCATTTCGTTGCCAATTCAAAGTATTAGCTTAAATAGTAATGTTTAGTTTTTACTCAGAAAAGTTTCATATTTATTAATAGGCTCTAATAATTCCTTGCGATAAATAAATCAAGACAATTCATATTCGGCTCTATAATCACGTAAAATCGATTTATTCTCTTCAACTCATTGAAATAAACTTCACGGAAAAGATCTATTTCATTCAATAGCTAATTCCTATGATTTATTCTTTCTCCATTAGACTTTTATCCTTCACACGTATTTCCTATCAGTTTCTCAGGCTAATATACAAGTGTTTTATTTACATATGGTAATCTATGTCATAAAGGCATGACCTACTAAATCTACGTTTTGTTCCGCTCATATCAAACAACAACATACAAATGTTTCTTATCAATGATTACTTAATCAGGTTCGAGGACATATCATCTTCCATAATATTGTTAATGATAAGGCGAAGAAATTGCTTTTTTTCTTTCTCACACGGTCATCAGAGTCACTCTATACCTACTTTTTTTGTTTTCATTAATAACATTGATTAGAAACTAAATAAACAAAAACTATAGAAAATTAAAAGTTCATGATTTGTCTAGAGCAAAATATAATCATAGAATATGTTTAAAATGAAACGAGGTTTTAGGTATCTTAGATACACAAATATACATAAGCAGAATATACAAGAAACGTAATCATCAAGAGAGAAAAAAATCGAGACAACAAATTATATACAGTAAAAGGATATAACGAATATGAATTCATAAAAATAAACAAGAAAACATGACACAAGTGATTGTTAATAGAAGAAATTATTTTACCCTTTTGTTGTCTCTACTTGTCAATTATAATAATACTAATTTCAAACAAAACAATCATCGATAGCTAGAATATGGAACGATGACTAGAGCAATGGGAAGAAAAAAGAAACAATAACAACAACAACACAAAGAAACGTACAGAAGCTTCTTTTTTTTAAATAATAATAGTAATAGTAATAATAATAATAATAATAATAATAATAATAATAATAATTCAATTTTCGTTGAGAAAGAAAAAGAATGAAAGGAAAAACAAAACCTGTTAACATCACTGTTTTTGCACGCGGGTCAATCAAATGAACAAAAATGTTATTATTTTTTCATATATTCTGAATGATCAACATTTTCATCATCCCATCCGTTGTCTTTAATCATATGTACAAGTTCAATTATATATTTGCCTTCTTTATATTTTTGACTGGATTCAAATGCATGTTCCTATATGAATGAAAAATTTCTTTCATTTTGCTTAGAAAATATTTAAAATCATGTATTTACATATTTCCAACCAAGTAAAGTTTTACAACATTCACAATAGATATCAGCTACTTCATGTAAACCCGTCAGTAAAACTCGTTCTTCAGCAGCGCTTGTATTTACATTGACACTAGAATCGAATAAAGACGAAGACAATCAATTAAAAGATTTGATTGATAAATGTAAATAACATACACAGAATTGAACAGGTAAGCTCGGCCTTGACTACCTTGAAATGACTAAAATTTTTAACGAAAAAATAAGACATTTGTTTCTTTTCTTTTTAAGAATTACTTTTGAAATCAGTTCATCGTGATTAGCCAATTGAGCTCGACAATGAAGGCAAGAATAAGTTCGATGAGTTTTATCTGGTAAATAAAGTTGGAATAATTTGCCCAATGTTTTTGAACCGCCGTGATGACTATTTTTAACCATCTTCTGGCGGACCTATATAAAAGATAAGAGTGAAAAGCAAACCAAAAGAATTCATTATACGACCTATTGACTGATAAAAATAGATATAACAGCAAGAAAAACGAAGAAAGGCTTGAGTATGTCAAGTTGTAAATATCATAAAAAAAATAGATATACAAGTGACGAGACAGCACGTGTGTTTTTGCATTATTGATTTATTTCTCTGTTTTCATCTCCCTTGTCTCAATTCTCACTTTTCCCCTCGAACTCTGTGAAAGTCTAATGAGCAAAACAAAAAAGTAATTCTCCAAAGAAAGAAGTTCAGGGAAATCAGATGTATTGATGCGAATAATTTTCAGCTTAAGCCAACTGATCTGCTCCATTGTTGGTGACAATTTTTTTTTTCTATTTTTTTTGTCATTGTGTCCATAAGACTAATAGTAAATATTCATATTCCTATATTCACTTATCTAAAGTAACATAAAAAGTTGAAGACGAGACGCAAGCACTTATCTGCTTGTCTACCCTATTCGTCGTCTCCCATTATACTCTATCTACACCCATAATAAACAACTTGAATTTTAATGACCATATACATATATTACAAATACATCGATTGAATTGATGATTGAACTCATACAAATAAAAAACTGATAGAAAGGGAAAAATTCATTGAGCGTATCCAAATCGTGTTCTTTTACTCTCTCTCTCTCTCTCAAACAGCTTTGCAGATCCATATTTGTACTACTTGCGCAATTGAATAAATACAGATGTGTGTTCATCAATGTAGTACACACAATACTGATTAGACATATATATATTTTTCTTTTTTTATTGTGCTCCATTACGTTGTTCCAAATCTATTCTAATCCAATAATGATGAAGAGTTTGCATAACTCTAGTGAAAGGAATAAAACACTTGTAATCATAACTTTCACTATACAATTTTTAAAAAACGGATTTTTTTTTTTCTATATAGACTGGTCGATATCTTTAAGCATATTGATGTATACTTTGCCTGTATAGATATATGCATACTAATTGAAGGACGATGTCGTTTAGATAGTCTATGCTTAGATGATACAGGAAAAAGTTTATGTATATATATATAAAAAATTCACTTAAAATGTTGATGAGACAACAGAGAGAAAACAAGCCTTGGTCAATCAGCGAAGCGAAAACATTAATATACACACATGTATCATTAATGAGAGTTCGACATGTATCTCGTTGTCTGCGTTTTTCTCTCTCG